TGTCAGTCGAGGCATTTAGTAACGAACATACGATGACATACTGGACAGAGTGTAGGAAAGCACAACACCAGCCTTCGATGGGTCGACGGTGTTACGGAATCCGACAGAAAACAGGCCAATTCCGAGGATGAGGCAGTTTCCAAGGAAGTCAAGTCGCATACCGAGCCACCTCAATCGAGAATCAGCTTACGATTCATAGGGGTTTCAGAATATGCTGCATACCTCTGCAAGGTAATGGTCATAAAGTAGGCCCTGTTTTCTACGTCTATCGCGTGTTCGGTTGTCGTCACGAATCGTTGCTGGAAGAGCATGTCAGTACGATCGTTGTATTGCGTAAGACACTGGCAATACCTGTTCTCGATATGCGCGAACAGTGGCTAGTCCTGTCAGCGTTTCTGAGGAACATCAGCATACGAACGCACACATTGTGAATATAACATACCAGAATAGGAGGCGTACAGGTTGGAACGCAGAATAGAGTCCATGCGCTTCACTTCGACCGATGTTCGGCGATAGAAGGTAGATGCGGCCCAGTACAAGAACAGCAGAGGGACGAAGATGATTCCGAGGTACGCATAGGTGTAGAACACGAGGAAGACAGTGCCAACAACGGAAGCCGCGGTAGTCAACAGCTAAAGGTGTTCTTCAGTCAGAACACTAACATCTTCTGCCTGCAGCGAACGAACCTGGTAAATAGAGACTGCGAGCTGGTTATCCATGACGTCCACATCTTTGGCAAGTCGATTGACGATTCGCCCAAGAGGCGTCGTGTCGTAAAACCATACAGGTGCCCTGAACACCCTCATGAGAGCGGTCGCATGCAGATTTCTACTAGCTTCAATAGCCGTCAAGCTAACAAGACAATGAGACATGCCATTTGTCGCGAATTTTCGACAGCGTACCTCAGGAAAAGAGCACTGAGGAATGCGAAGAAGGCCTGGGCACCGCCAAGCCCAGCATACATCCCCATATATCCAGACTGACTGAAGTCAGAGATGCTGTCACTGGTCCAAAAGCCGAGAAATAGGTTATTTCCGACAGACGCAGCCTGACCAAAAGCAATGATAGCCAGAAGCCCTGGTGCCCAGAGGACAGATCCAGCAGCTTGGAGCCACTCGGTGTAAACTTTCGTTGTAACTTGGCCCGTTCTGCGCTCTTCTTCTTGCATCAACTTAGGCCCCTTGGAGCTCGTTTTCCCTTCCCCTTGCTCCGATGCTTTTGTCTTCTTTTCATCCCCGGCCTTTTGTTTTTGTTGGTTACCAAACTCCTCAATGAGCTCGGCGAACCCTTTGCCATTGCTCAACAACTCCTAGCAAAATATGTTAGGTCCCCTCCAAAGACACACCTGAACTTGGTCCCACCTCGTAAGTGCCAGATTCTGTGAGCCGTCCCTCCTCTACATGCAGGATATGGTCCACACGGGGCAACACGTACAGTGCATGTGTGACCAAGATCCTCGTCTTGTTTGCCAGCGGTCCTCTCAGCAAGCAGTTTTCGAGAATATGGTTCGCCACATGCGCATCCACCGCGCTGAGAGGATCGTCAAGTAAGACGATATCCGCATCAGAGTATGTCGCCCTGGCGAAGGACACTCGTGCTTTCTGTCCGCCACTGAGGTTGATCCCCTTCTCTCCGATCTCGGTCATGTCCCCGTTGGGGAGCATGTCCAGATCTGGGGTCAGCGCACAGGCATGACAGATTGCGTCGAACCTTTCCGGGTCGTCTGGCTTGCCAAACATAACATTGTCGCGCAATGTGGCGTTGATGATCCATGCTGCTTGAGGGACATACGCTGTCGAACCACCGTAGACGACGTGGCCACGGGTTCGTCGCATTTCTGCAGTAGAATTTTTCAGGTCTTGGTAAACAGCATATAGTACGACCCTCACCTCCGATAAGCCCCTGGAGTAGGGAAGACTTGCCGCTGCCGACCTTGCCCACAATAGCGATGAAGCTCCCTCTCGGGACCTTCAAATCGATATCCTTGAGCGCAAACGGTTGCCTGGCATTCGGGTCCTCCTTCTCCTTCCCCTCCAGCGGTGCCAATCCCTTCCTCTTCTTCTCCTTATTCTCCTTATTCTTCTTCGCAGCTTCCGCTGTCTTCTTCTTGGCAGCCTCCTTGGTCATTCCTGCTCCCGCTCCCCCTGCTTTCCCTCCCCGCCCCTTGGATTTCTCATCAGGCTTCTCCACGCTCTCCCAAACGAAGTCCCCCTCTGCATCCACCGCCAGCTCCGCGTCCAAATGTACAGAGTACGGGTCCTCGAGGTCCTCTGCCAAGAGCATCTTCCCCACTCGGCCGAGGGCGATGTATGCGTCTGTGCAGTAGGTAAAGACGTATGGCAGAGCCACGAGGGGGGTGCGGATGATGTTGAAGTATTGTAGGGAGGAGAAGATGATGGCCGGAGTGAGGGGGTGGTTTGATAGCGCGTAGGTGATCTATGACTTGATCAGTTATATGCTACACACAGAAGAGGAAGAGTTACGATAGACAAGATGGACGCTGCGATAGGGATGAAAGCTACGATTGATGCCATGCATGCTCGTCCGAGAGCCATCGTGCGTACGTTGTGCAGCTCTTTTTCTCTGATGTCGCCGCTCTTGCGAGCATAGAACGCCTCCCACACATAGAGCTTGATAACACGTATTCCTGCTAGGATCTGAGCAGAGAAGGGTGAAGAAGAATTATGAGCTCCGAGGAGAGGCCGAAAAGAGGATCGACGCACCTCCTGCATCAGTCGCACCCTCTGGTCCGTGAGCATCACCGCCCTCCTCCTCGATCCATAAATCATCTTCACCAGATATCCCTGCAGCGGAAACCCAAGTACGAGCACCGCCAACCCCACAAGCGCCGAGTACCCCAGGTTAGAAATAAGCAGGGCGATTCCGATAAGGATCTGGATAGGGAAAACCCACAGCCCGTGCGCGTACGCAGAGGCTTCGTCCATCCTCGTAGCGTCGGCGGAGATCATCGTTGTTATCTGGCCGGTGTTGTGCGTGATCCGGGCTTTGCCAGATAGGCGGAGCGCTTTGCGGAAGATGTTGGAGATGACCTACCTGGAAGTGAGCGGACTGGTGCGGTAATACAGTCGGAGCATGGGAGGAGAAGGGTACGTACGGAAGTGCGAATCAAGAACCCAGTCTGCATGGCCCATTGCATATAGTTATTCTGGCAGATACTGCTCACCTCTTGCATGACAAACAGTGCGATTGCCAGCCCTATACCATACCCCACGTCCCTGGGAGCCGGGGCAGTCGGGTCGCGATAAAACACGTACGCTTCCGTGAGGTAGGCAATAAGCGCCTTGCTCACCAGTGGGGTGGTGGTATTGAGCGTATCGCCGACGAGCCTGAGGATGCCTGTGGGCCAGAAACGCCAGAAGAAGGTGCGATTGAGCGCAAGGAGAAGGGAGGAGTCGTACTCCCTTTTGTCAGCTTTTGAGCTGCTGGTGCTGGGGAGGTCGGCAGGAGTGGCAGAGGACTTCGTCCGTCCGAGCTTCTCTGTACTGCCTTCTTCGAGATCGCCATACCCCGACGAGCTAGCAGCAGCAGTCCTCGTGCCGAAGCTCGTGCCAGTGCGGGTGAACTGCACGTCGACCTCTCCTGCCTCAGTGGGAGCGCGTAGAAATATAGGGCGTTTTCCCGGGGGGCAGCGAGCGTAGAAGTTTTGCTCTACTTGATCGGCGACTGTATGCGCGAGGCGGGCATCGTCCAGTTCCCACAAATCTGCGTGGAAGTCAGGAAATACTAACCTAGGGGAAGGTGAAAGTGTGGACCGTCTTCCTGTATAGGTCGCGTATACCCTACCGTTAGCAGTGGGGTGAGCCACTCCACAGTAACTCGTGACAAGATACTGCCATCCAATGCTCAGTATCGCCGCGTCACTCAGATGAAAGACTCACTTGGACCGGATATCAGGAACGACCTTCCCCTTTCCAAAAGCGGGCGGGGCAGGTTCAGGCCTGTACAGGCGAGACAAAAAGTTGCGCCGTTTCCGGGGCATTTCGACCGGGAAATTGGCCGCTGTGGCCTGTGGGGCATTTTGAGTTAAGGGGTTGTCCATCGCCCTTTTTTCTCTAGGTTAAGGAATGTTGTTTTGATGAACTTCAGGGAAAAGGGGCCATAGGTTGCAGCGAGCGACAGAAAGTAGAACGACCATAAGACACAAACTATGTGCGACAGCTATTTATTGCGTCGGCCATCATTTGATGAGCTGTTAATAGAGTCAACATGACTCGTTTTTTACCGTCTCTGAGCGGTGCTGAGCTCGGCAGAGTGACCCATTATGAAGGCAGCCAGGGATCTGTCGTGGGTCATATCCGGGAAGATCGGAAATGACGTAATTTCACCAGTGCCAGATATGCACATTCCAGACCTTTGATTCACTCATGCAAAGGTCTTTGTCGCTTGAAATCGATCGCAGAGGTGTGTGGAGAGTACGCAGAAGCCTGGAACCTTAGCAACACCCGAGCTTCTCCGTTTTAGACGTTGCTACGGGATCTTGCTCGTGATTTCACTGTGCAAGTGTCTTAGTGTAACTGCGTCACTTGAGCACAAACTGCCCTACAATATCTCTCTCATTGACTAGCATTGAATGCACTTTCCAAGAGCTCGTTGGCGGTTAAAGAAAAGCAGAAATCTGGCTTAAGCCTGGAGACAAACGCCGATGGGTGCCTAGGCCTCGGCCACGTGTTGATAAATGAATAAGCTCCGTATCCACGCGACATCGATAACTTCTGTGAGGGGCCAAGCACACGCCGCGTTTTATCTTGTTCACGTCCTTACCATCTCTTGCTGTGCTCTACCCTCAACCTACTAATCAAAAGATGGCAACTAAAGTATCCAACATTCCTGCCCCGCTTGCTGCGTACCTGCGTGCGCTGGCAAAGCGGCCCTTGCTCACAAAGATGGTCACCGGAGGTACGCCCTTCCTGGACCTTTAACGCCGACTATGCAACTTAACGCACACCAGCCGTCCTCTCTTTCCTGCAAGAACCGCTCTCCTCTTCTCTCGCACATCTCCCCTCTCCCGCACCCTCCCAAACAGTATCCCGCTACTCCCCCGAGCTCGCACTCCTCCTCGCACGCCTGCACGTTTCCCCCCGCGCACTCAAGCTCGCCCTCTATGGGTTCCTCATCTCCGCGCCCATGGGGCACTTCCTCGTGCTCATGATCACCCGCGCGTTCACCGGTGTGCAAGGAGTCAAAGCCCGCGTAGGCCAGCTGGCGATGAGCAACCTTATTGCCGCGCCCATCCAAGTGTCTGGTGCGTTGCATCTCTTCCCTAGCTGCTATCAGATGACTGACGCATTCATTCCTCACAGCATACCTCGCCAGCATGGCCATCATCCAGGGCGCCCGTTCACCCCAACAAGTCCTCGCCGCTGTCCAATCCGGTTTCCTACGGGCGATGAAGATGACCTGGATGACCTCACCCGCAGCCGTGCTCTTCGCACAGCAGTTCTTCCCTCCCGAGGTCTGGGCCGTTTGGTTCAACTTTGTCAACTTCTGCTTGGGCACGTACTTTGGGGTTGTGATCAAACGCCAGCAAGCGATCAAGGGCAAGGGAAAGGAGGTGAAGGATGAAAAGAAGGACATTTGAGCGATCCAATTCGTACCCTGGTCTGTCTGATTTTTCGTATTTCTCGCGTTGTTACCACTTGTCTTTCTGTAACTTATGTTATTTCCTTTGCATTCAATCCGGGTATTGTGCAAATTGCTAAATTCACCTATTTACCCAAGAATGGAAAGGTGCTATCAACATTAATGCTACAGCCAGACGTACCATAAAGTCCATTTCTCCTCTTTGGGACTACAGTGACCCCTGCCCTAGCACATACTTGAATATATGCAGCGCTGTCGCCGGCTGGTCATACGGTATCAGATGCCCAGCCCCGGGAAGCTCGACGTACGTGATCCCCCTCTCGTTTGCGTACGTGCCCCCGCCCTCCCCATCAATGCTCGCAATACTGCTCCCCGGTGCGGTCTGGAACCCCTGCTTCCCGCCCCAAGTCATGTTCTGCAGCCATATCCGGTCACCTGTATAGATCAACAACGCATCCATATACCCGTGCTCGATGGTGATGCCCCTAGGCAGATGAGGGAGCAGCGCGGGGAGGAGCGTCTCGCTGTACGCGCTCGTGTCGTACCCGTCGGAAGTAGCGAACACTCCGTTCGGGTTACACTCGTTGAACGTCATGTTCGGCACGTGCAGGAGCTGCATCACGTCCGGTCTTGAGAAGTATGCTGGGGTGTTGTCGGCTCCTAGAGGGCAGGTGTCGTCCACGTTGTATGGGCTCAAGCAGGGGTTACCGCAGGAGTAGAGCATGTAGTCCCACGTGTCACACGCATCTGTATATGCGTCTGCAGGGATGTTGATCAGCCCATGCGGAGGGTAGGTGATCTGCGACATGACACTGTCGTACCCGCAGGAAGAGGACAGGTTCACCAGCTGGGAGACGACGTCGTCTGAGAGCATGAGGGCCGACTGGAACTCCTTTGCGTAAGCGGCAGCGGGATCTGCTGCGAGTTGACAAAGTCCGCGCAGGTGCCGTCGGATACTAGGATACCGTTGAGCTTGATAGGGAGGACGGAGGGGGTGGAGAGGATGCGTTGGGCGATATAGGGCAGGTATTTGCCGCTGTAGGACTCGCCGGCTAGAGTAAGGGGTTTCTGCAGGAGGGCGGGGAAGTTTTCGTCTATGCATAAAATGGTTAGCACAGGATGCAAAGCCGCAGGCAAGGGCGTACAAAAGTTCTCTAAGAAACCGTAGAACTGGTCGGCAAGCTGCGTCATCGTGGTAATGTCGTTCGTGCCAACGCTGTACCCCGTTCCTACAGGCTGATCGATATAGATCATGTCGCTCGCAGTCGTCCATCCGTATGGATTGAGGACGGGTGCATCGCCCGATTTACAGCTTATGGGGCCGTTTTCCTGCGAACAAAAGGTCAGGAGAGGTCTACTTCGCAGCAGACAAGAGGATACCATAAGGAACCCCGTCAAGCTCGAGCAGCCCGGACCGCCATTAAGCCAGATCGTCAAGCTCTCGCTTCCTCCGCTGGCCGTGCTGGGCCAGTACCAGAAGAACAGCTTCTTCGTCTCACTCGGGGACTGGCTCACAGGGAGCAACCCAGCCCACGTGCCCGGAAGTTCGAAGTTGATCAGGGGTAGGGCGGACGTGTTGACATAGAACTGGTTTGCACATTCCGGGAACCCAGGCGCATTCGGGTTACCCGGTGGGTGCGGTGAGACAGGAGGAATAGGGTAGGGCCATCTTGGTGGTGGGAGGCTTGGAAACCAGAAAGGACGAGGATAATGTGTGATTGGGAGCTTGGGGGCCCAGTGTGTCCAGGGCCAACTGGATGGGGTGCGCTCGACAGGGGTTGCAGCTGATAGGCCAGAGAGGACGACAAGGAGGGACAGCACGGTTGAGAGTGTGGTGTACATTATGAACGAGTAGTAAGTTTCAGATGCACTAGATGGGCGATGGGTCGTTGGAGATGGGAGGAGAGGGGCGGAGGACGTGCTGCCCTGAGGTTCGTCCAGCACACTCAGTGTCCTTATATGTCGGGTCGAGAAAGCTGTGGTGTAATGACAAGCCAGACTTGAGTGGGTAAAATACAGGTCCAAATAGAATCAGTGCGCAGTCCAGCCAGTTGTATTGCACATCCGGGAAAGCGGAGATGGTGGAAAGCGGCTGGAATTCAGGCAACCGAACCACTCGGCATAGACTATAGTAGGTAAGAAACATGGAGCTCTTTGAAAAGCATAGAATAATTGGAAGTTCGACCAGGCACGTCCGATGGACAAGGGATTGAATTGCCAGCGCATGGCAGCCATGTGCGTGGAACAAAAGGATTGATGGTGGATAAAGAATCATTCAGAACACGCGGAAAAAGATCCCCGGTGTCAATCATTCCGGCCGCCGCATTAGGAGCCAGGGAGCTTAAATACGCCATCCATCAGAGTGCAACCAGAAACATCTTCGGAAAGTTTCATGATGGGATTTCCAGTACCTTATTCAAGTGCTGTATTGTCAGAGCGCTGCGGAGCAAGCTGTTGGAAGGCATGAGAAGCACACATCGCCTCAGTTCCTCCATGTTCCAGTCAGGGCTCACGGCGAGGTTGCGGCGAGCCACCGGTATTTATTAGCAACAAATCGGGATGAAGTAATAGATACGATACCTTACGCAACTTATGGGACTTTGTTTGAGCGTCTGACGTGAGTGTACATGAAAGTACCAAATTTCACAGAAGTGGCTGAAACGCTGGCCGTCCATCTTCACATCTCGCCCTGCCAAATCCGAGGTCCAGCCGTATTGTTGTCAGCACTACGCATGTCAACGAATGAGCTGGTTTTCACCGCATGCTTTCCTCGGAACAGCTTTCATCCGTCCCAGAACTCGAGGCGCTTTACAAGCAATTCTCAAAGCATCTGTCTGTCCGGAGTTCGACCCCGAATCTCTCGTAGCCCGTGCCTGACAGAACCATTGCTGCGATCGGTCTTCCGCGTGCTCCGAATGAGAACGCGCGTAACCAAAGGGCGTTTGACCGGCCACGGGGATATAACGGAATACCGGACGAGCGGGAAGATCGGCGGCAAAGACCTTCCATTCAAATATCCGATAGCTGTAGCGAACTCAATCCGCCTTGAGGAAGAAAACTAGACAAAACGATGGTGCCGTAATGGCCCATACACTTGAGCGAAAGACGTAGTATCCTGAGTGAGAGGGAATGAGAAGGACCGTGAGACTCTGGGAAGAGAATTGAAGAGGTGAATATGAAATGAACGAGTGACGTGAGTTAATCTTCTGACTTGCATCATTCCAGTCCTTTTAGTGCATGCTAACCGCATTGAAACTCCTGTAACGCCTCGAGTCGGGTACTTCCGTGGCCGTGCTGGAGACGCGTTGCCTGATATGGCGGGGCTCAACGAGGTCCTCATCGTCATCCCAGCTGCCGGGAACAGGGGACATGCCCTCGCCCTCGTCATCCTCATCGTCCATGAGAGACTTGTCAATAGGGCTGCTAGAATAGGCACTGACGAAGTCAGCATCGGACTCGCCACCAGAAGTGGTGCCAGTCGTCATACGCGAGAGGCGCTTCGAGCGAGTAGAAGTCTTTCGGGACAGAGCGGGAGCAGCGGCATCCATCGGGGTTTCCTGAACAAGAATGGCCGCGGCACGGCCGGACGACGAAACGGGTGGTGCCCGGCTCGGATTACGGGGAGGGGCGATGGGACTTGGTGTGCTGGCCGACTTGATGGGGGTCTGGGCAGGCTCTGCGACGACTGTGCTGGTGGATTCCCGTTTGATGTCCCTCTGGCTGGATGCCTCAGAATCTGCGTCCTCCGCATGGTCAACAGGTTCTATCACAGCCTCTTCCTCGTTGGCAATATCAACAGGTTCCACGACTTCGTTGATCATCTCGGGAACGGGTTCCAGATCTGGCTCATCGATCTCGCCAGACCGCTCAGCGGCAGAAGGACGATATGTCGCCTCGCTCATCTCGTCAAGGGATCGCTTTTTTTCAGCACGACTGAGGGCAGGAGACAGACGCTGCTCCACAGTGGAATGCAGCGGCTCGAGTCGATCTCCGGCTGGAGGAGCTTGCTCAAGGCGCTGTTCCAATGAGGTGTCGGCTTCGGCTTCGGCTTCGGCTTGATGAGCAGAATGAGAAGTCTTCACACGACGGCGAGTACGGCGACTGCGACGGGTTGCGTCTGTTTCGCCACCAGTGTCATCAGCACCAGACCGGGGAGATGCGACACGGCGCTTGTTTTCGAGGTCAGCCAGAGCCAACTCCAGCTGCAAGAAAGGTCAGAAAACGTTGTCACCTGCTCAGTGCTCTAGATGACCAACCTTCATCTGAATCTGATTCACTTTTTCGCTGATCCTCTCGCTCTTCTCGCTAATGCCAGCATCCACAGCGCCCATGGTATCTTCCGTTCCTTGATCACGGCCACTAGCAGAGAATCGCTTCTTCCTAACAGGTATAGCGCTCCTGTCACTATCATGCTCTTCATCATATTTCTGCTCTTTGTAATGGCGCTGACGGCGAGGCTCCAATTTGACTTCGGCCTCTTCTTCATCGATTTCGCGCTCATCGATCTTCTCGAGCCTCCGCTTCCCAGTTTCGATGTCTGCAGCGTTCATTCCGATCTCATGCTCGACGAGCTCTTCATCAACCGGATCATGCAGGGCGGTGCCAGTGCTGAAACTCCTAGGGATTCGTCTGCCGTTCGCCAAGCCCGGGGTAGAGGCACGGGAATCAGCGCGTGAGCCAGTGCGAGACGTGCCAGTCTCGGACATCGAGTCGTTGAAGGACATGCTAGCGAGGGCACGCTCGATCTGCTCTTCGACTTCCGCAACCATCTGCTCGCGTTCGCGCTCCATAGCTTCCATGTTGAGACGCATCTGATCGAGTTGCATGAGCGCGTCCTGGTGCTCATGCTCGACATGAGATAGACCTGATGGACGGGGTCAGCTGCTGCTGCACACCAGCAGGATCAGAACACTCACGCATCTGAAGCTGTTGCTTCTCCTGTGCAGTGACGGTAATGAGGCCGCTAAGGCGCCTGCTCTCCCTTTGTTCCTTTCCAATTTTAGACTTGAGGTCGCCAGCCTCGAGACTGAGCTTCTCCGCATATCCCTCGAAAGCGACAAACTTCTCACGCCAAAGGTCAGATTCTGTCATTAGGAAGTTCAAGCGACGTGAGAGACGGCCAATCTTAGTCTCGAGGTCGTCACGAGCATCAACGAAGGCAGTGGCGCGACGACGGATGGCACGTTGAATCAGCTGTTCAGCCGCGGTCAGTCCGGCCTGACGCTTCGACATGCCCAACATGGCTAGACGCTTGAGTAGCGATGGCTTCTTGTACTACGCGCTGTCAGGAATACCAATCACACTCGGAACAACTCACTCACTTTATCCTTGAGCACAGAGTCGAAAGCCTGGATGACTCTGGGCTGGAACCACCATTCAGGCGGTGGGATGATCTCCGCATACACGGCACTGGGCGCCCCGCGCCGAGTCTTGATGCTGCAGAGCGGCCTGAACCTGCCAGCGGGGAAAGCTTCCTTGAACTCACTCGGAACTGCATAGTCAGGATGGAAGTACCCCTCAAAGGCATTGATCAGCGTCCTACGGAACTTATCCCGCTGCTGTTTGGTGCTAACGCTCCCAGCTGGCGGGCTGGGGCAGTGGACGCTGTTGATATCCAGGTCGCAAATACAAACTTCCTTGCTGGGACGAGCGACGAACCGGCAGTCGGTGTGAAGGCCGATGAGCCACGGACCGGGATCTTCAAGGTAGATCTTGGCATCGCGGGCATGCACCGCTGGATGGGCGATACCGTTCCAGCCGCGAAGCTCGACGATGTATTTGATAGTGTGAACGGCGATCTATAGCACTTGTCAGGGTATGGATCTTTCTCGGCAGCATCTGCTTACACCGAGCATAGCAGGATAACGAGAAAGGAACAACACCCTGCCAGTAGCGGCCAGGGCAATCTCACAGACAGTGAGGATATTATCCAAGTTCAGTGCCCTAAACAATGGCCACATAGTGAACTATCCATTCACGCATCAGCATCATTCCAGCCGTTTAACAAGCGACACCCACGTTTACGTCCACCAGGCCCCTACCGAAGTCCAGGCCACCCGGGAACCGACAGACGACTTCGACGCTCTCGCCTTCTGCACCAGCATCGAGCTTAACGATGTCTCCCGAACGCGGGGATGGGTGCTCGAGGATCTTAGCGATTTGCAGAGAGTGAGACTGCACATCTTTGCTGAACCTCGCCCAGGAGAGGGTGAGGAAATCGCGCATGAGGTCGTAGATAGGGTGCTTGGACACTAAAGCTTGATCGCCATTATTAGCTGAGTCTCAAAGAGAGAAAATGCAAACTAACTCAAAGCATAAGGAAGCCAGAACACAGTCTCCCTCGGCAGGAAGAGTGTGCTGCCACCAACGACCTTATCGCCCCAGTCGTCCGTCTCCGGCTCTTGCTCCGTCTCGGTCGCCTCCGGGGTGCTCTGGCCATTCCACGGTGCCTTCCTGCGTGCACTGCTAGCCGGGCGGCGCTGGAACCTCCTCGACCCAGGGCTAGCACCGGGCGTGCCAGTAGTGGGCTGGGAAAGGCTCTTCCGGATCGCTTCCGCGCGACTCGCGTCTGCGTGGGAGTACACAGTCAGCACAGTACCGTAGTATATCTGCCCCTCCTCTTCTTCCTTCTTCCCGCCTTTGAGGGGCGCGTTGTTGCTGTTCGGCACGGGAGGGGGGTTGAAAGACTGGAAGGAGGTGGTGGAGTAGTTTGCTGGGCCATAACCGGGGCGCAGAGAAGGGAGCGATGAAGCGTTAGACAGTGAGGTGAAGGTCGCTGCACGGTTCATGCTATGAGGCCCCGCAGGCCGAAGAGTGAATGTGAAGGTGTGAATCGTCGATGCTGGCTGCAGAGTCGAAGCGATAATCTCCACTTCTTTGGGGAAGGATAGCTACGCGCAATGTTCATCAATGGGGGCATATATGCACCACTTAGACAGGAAAACATACCTTGAGCGCTTTCGACAGCATCCGCTGCACGTCCTCACCTCTCCTGCTCTTCCGTTTCTTCCCACCACCAACGGTGCTCCCATCCCCGCCGTTGTTCACTCCGGGACTGACGGTGCTACCCAACACCTCAGCTCTCCACCAACGATTGACCGCACCATCTGCGTGCCTGCACCCCTCGACACTGTCCGGCTCCGCGAGGGTCCATGTATGCGGGCTCTTGGGCAGCCCAGCAACGAGGTACAAGCTTGTGAGCGGGGTAGTGCTAGCTGGGGCGGCAGGCTGAGTGAGGGCACCGTTTTTGCTCCCGGAACTCAGTTGCTTCTGGTGCTGGCTAGCGACGGTACCTGGCCTACTGGGGCCTTTCGGTGCAGGAACCAGCGCGCCTTGCTGTGCGTGGGAGTGGTGTCCGTGCACATGATGGTGCGGCATAGGAGGGGGGATAGACGGAGGTGGGTCCATCTCACCCTGGGTTGTCGCTCCCCCAGCTTCGAACTCTTCGTCGTCGTCCTCTTCCAGCTCCTCGATATCTGTACGCTCCCGTCTCGCATGCCCGTTCTGAGCACCTGTAGGAGCCTGGGCAGCGACGGCAGCATCGAAGTCGGAAGAGGGGTAAGATGTCGCCGAGGTGTCCCTCTGCGCACGCGGACGGGCATACCGGGAGGATGCAGCAGCAGCCGCGGCAGAAACGTTGGATATATGCGTCTGCCCTGGACGAGGGGAGGGCATCACTTCCGGTTCCGTCTCGGTCGCGGTGTTGTCTGCATCTCCGAGGCCGCGTGCGGCAAACCGATGCGTGTGCCCGTTCATCTCCTCCTCTTGCTGGTAAGGAGCGTGGTGATGGTGATGATGAGAATGATGGGCAGAGGACTGCTGTACCGGTGTGCGGCGGGAATGGGTATGATGGGACGGGGATGAGGGGAAGGAGGACTCGCGCACTTGGAAGCGGCGAGTGGTGGGGGAGACGGGAGCAGGGATGGAGGAGACCTCTGTCCGCTCGCGTGCGGTCGTCGCTGCTGCCATGTCTGGTCGGTGTTTTTCTCAGTTTGAGTTGGTTCGCTGGTTGAGCGTCGACTGAACGTGGGCGCGTTTTACGCTGCAGCCGTGCGGGAGAGACAGAAAGGGATTATGCAGCGAAAAAGAACGAACGGATGGAAGCCGGAGAAGGAATCGGCGTTGCAGTCCCTGGTAAGCCTAGCGCGATATAGAAAGGCGGGGAAGATCAAGTGTAGGATGGAAAAAGAGAGAAACGGTGTAGTTGTCTCTGCGACAGCGACAGTTGGTCCACTCTACAGCTCAGGACGCGCCCTCCCGTTGTCGTGGAGGTCAAAGACCATGATAAGCGAGTTATGATCAACTTCGCCTTACGTTGCAGCCGCCTCTGTGTGCTTCCTCATTGGCCCTTTTTACTCCTCCGCCGTCTTTTTCCTTTGGACAGAAAAGAAGCCGCATACATCAAAGGATGTCAACAATTTATCTGTGATCAGCCTCCTTTTCAATCAATCTAGGGCTTCAATCGCCCGGCGCGTCGTCGCACCAAACAGCAAAGGAAAACTCCCTTGACGACAAGGGTTCAGGCACGAGTACTTGGTGAGGAATGTGTCACGTGATTTCACCCAATGTATGAGCGTCAACGAGAGCTCGACAACCTCATACAAGCAGGATAGATAATAAACAAGATAAAAATGACTCCTACACCGACTTCGGATGTCCGCACGTCCGTGGTCGTGATCGTCAAGTCCGCATACTTCAGATGATCCTGCGCTTTTTCTTTGCACGCACATAAAGACTGAGACAGGCTCACTCCGAAAATAATGTGCTGTACTCACCGACGGATCTGGATACGCAGTATCTATGTTTCTCAGGATAACGTCTGTTTCATCCAATGCCAGCCTCTTTGAGTGCAAGGCGCCCTCAGCCTTTTTTACAGCCTTCGCTTGCTGTTGTTTCTCTAAGACCTGGATGAGCCCTAGATCTTGGTGCTGTTGTTGTACGACTTACGTTGCTGGAAAAAATGCCGCATAATGTCTGAATTTCGCACGTGAGATGATGTATCATGATCCTATAACCTGTGGAAGCTTACCACGCGATCCATAGTGAAAAGTCCACAGCAGCTCGATTTTATTTTCATCCATCTCGTTCAGGCGGTCGTAATCCTCTATCGAAGGCTGGCAAAGCCCGAATGGAAAGCTGTGGAATGTGTTCATCGCATGTATCGACATACAAACAAACATACTCACATGAGTTCTGCCTGGTCCGGTTCTTCTTCTTCTAGCTCTGACAACTTTGACCCGCTTTGCTCCCCAGCTGCTCCGTTCTCGGCGGTGTTCCCGTCTCCAGCAATTGCATCTGCCTCAGCAGTCTTTCCTTCTTCACCGGCAGCTTGCGAGTCAGTTGTTCCTGTCTTATCAGCAACTTGTTCTCCGCCAGATGTTGCTTCTTTATCAGCTGTTTGCTTATCAGATGCTTCCTTATCAGGTTTTTTCTGCTTGGAGTTATCGACGACTTTTCCGGGATACTTGAACTCTTGTAAAGCGCTCTCTGACAGCGAAAACGCGCAGAACTCGATCACGCCGAGCTTCGTCGGATCTGCGCAGAATAAGGTAGATCCAAATCAATCTAAGGATCGCGTACCATCTGTGGGCTGTAGATCTTGAAAGGCGAACGGAGCACGAAACGCCCTGTTGTCTGGTGTTACGATGCATTGATCGATGATCACGGGATGACTCGTCGGGACGAGCAATCGGCTAGCAATCTCTTGACCATCGACGGTTAAGATACCAGTGTATGGAGAAAGCCGGGCATCAGCTCGGGTGCCATCCCAGGACCAACGAACAACGAACGGTAAACGTCTGCAGCGTCAAGTGAGTATTGAATGTGATGGCGGATATGATTGTAGTCTCTGACACGTCCGGGCGAACCATCTATGAAGCCGGTCCATTTTCGTAAGTGGGGATCTTCGCTGCTGGTATATTGCTGCAGCTCATATGCAAGATCGCCGTCGATGAGCTGAATGGACACATCATGACCAAGCAGTTTTCCCATCGTGGCAGACTTCAACTGGATAAAGACGCGTCTGGCGACTTTAGGGACGCGTGGTCCAGACTAGCGGACGTACGTAAATATTATGGACTTTCTGCTTCGCCGCCAATTACCTCTGGAGCGTCGGTAATCCACTTACTCTATATGTTTATTGCATTCACATTAGCTGGCTGCATAGAGATTCTAAGGCCAAGCCGCAGATATTGAGAGTGCAGCTTCATGACGCCTAACCTAAAGTTTGGTTGGGCGTCTGTTTCGGAGCCGACATCAAGGGTTTTTCTTTCCGGAGTGCCAGCAAGCCCCTCTTCTCTTGTACTCTCACATACATATGCTTGTATACCAGATAAAACTCCTGAAGTCCTTTGACCTGGTATAATCATCTGATTGGCAACACCATGAATCTACATCTCGCCAACAATCTGGCGGAGCACCTTGGCAGATTAACATGTCATCACTGAAGCATTTAACCCACGTTTGTGTGAACACCGACTCGCAACAACTATAAGCATATTCATTAATCCAAAGATTCAGAGAATCATAACGTAACGGTTAGTATACTAGTACAGATGATGCCCCCATCTCGTCATTTCACAGGTCTGTTTTGGACAAGACGGTGGCACCCTGATTACTGATCAAGGTGAAACCATCAACCTTTGTTGCGCCGACCTGTTTGGGAAGGTTCGCAGCACCAACATCGCCAGCGATTCGCATCGCTTTGGCGACGTCCTTGATCTGTCATGGCGTTATCGAACAGCAGAGACAGAACATGGAGGAAGGGAGCATACATGCATTCCCGCCCCGCTCCACACCAACCTCAGCGCAGGCACCAAGGCCGCCAAAACCGCTTCTGCGTATCTTGGTGTGGACCGTGTCGCTCCTTGTAGGAATCCAGGACGAAACACAATGGTTTCTGCGTAACCCATTTGGGCGAGTGCGAGTTCAGTTTCGCCTTTCGAACGGAGATAGAGGAACGAGGACTTCGCGTTGGCACCCTCAGACTGGGATGGGGAAAGCAATGAGGAAACCGAACAACAAGGTGAGAACACAGAACATACCGAGAGATACACCATTCGCTGCTGCTTTGAAGGGTCAAAAGCGTGTTTAGCTGCGTCTACAACGTAGCTGCGCAGGCGATCAGTGAGACTCTTCGAGCACATATTGTTACGCACTCCTTATCAATCTTTGTGAATTTCTCCGCGCTTCCTGCAGCCTGCCGTGTCGTTCCCAGCGTCACGAATACGACATCCCATTTCTCCTTCTCAAGCCCTGCTTGACCCAAGTTCTCAAAGTCGATCGTGTGCTGCTCGAGCTTAGCCTTCCCCTCAGTAGGCACCTTGTCCGCAGGTGTGACGTGCCGACCGAACTCCCCGACTTTGCTGAAGTGGGGGGAGGCAAGGAGCTCACGAAGGAGATGCGAGCCAACGTTGCCTGTCGCACCGATCAGGAGTGCAGTCTTTGCTGTTCAGGTGTTAAGGTGGTGTCAGGGAGCTGGGGAGTCAACGTACTCGACATGGTGGTGATAAAGTTACAAAGAGGTTCCCTGTGCAAGTACCAGGTGCGCTCTTATGTCCCATCAAGCCAAGCCATCTTTTCCGTGCACGCGACGCCGGGATCGGGTCGCCGCGCGGCTTCTGACATAAAAGTTCGCCGGACGTTATCTCGGTCAGGTTGTGTTTTCCCGCGGTCAAGATCAGCTTTCACTTTCTGCGCTGATCGTTTTCACTCGAATTCTACAGCTCGCAGCACTGCAAGGATATCCTTCTGACGAAGGCACAATATGGCAAGTGCAGGTTGATCGTGTATTACCAAACTCGGGGCTGTACCCTCCCCGATTCGGCTCCGATCAGTGACAGGGACCACAAAATCAGTATTCATTGTTGGAACTACAAAAGATTATGAAAGCACAGGATTTCTTTGGCGTGGTTACCAGTGGCTCGCACAAGTGTCATATGGAGCGGGACGGTCCCTCACAGTCGATAGCTCGTCTGGCAGACCTTCAGTGTGCGGCCACGCTGCTTCGAGCCCGATGCTCACCGAGCTCTTGAAGGAGAGCATCAAAGTCCGATCCTCGGTCAAACTGCAGACCATTTCCTAATGAGACGTTGTCGACATCCCCAAATATTTCCGTGAATAGTGCTTGATCCATGATATAATCCTCTCGTCCCTCTGATGGCGCAGGATGACAGTCATACTCTGTATTCGTAGGTTGCAATATTTCAGCATCTCCAACCCATGTCATCTCAGTATCTGGATCCCCGTGATAGCCCGCTGAATCCAGTCCTCCTGGTGCAGTCGCTTCAGCATCGTAGGAATTCAGAGTCGAGGCGCGGATTGCTTCCAACTCGTCGTCAAACGCCAGTTCAGGCAACCGCTTCCTCACTTGGTTCGCCTCCAGCAGTAGACGAAGATCGACACCAGCGTTTTCAGGAAGCCAATTCTCGGGTAAGTCTGGTAGGCACCAAGGAAGTTGCGGCTTGAACCTAGGAGGCGACAGGCCGAGCTCACGCGCGAAGCCATCCCATGGATTGTGCGTCAAAAGTAGGTTCGATAACGATTCAGACGAGTCTCCACCAGAGGACGGCGAGGAAGAGTGAGTCCGAAACTCAGATTTTCTGACACAGACATCGTCTCGCGTGCTATCTGTAAGCCGCTTAGTGGTGCCAGATAGCTGAGCATTGGCAGTGTCCTCAAGTTCGCGCATGCGACGGAGACCGATTGCTTGTGCTCGCATAGGTTTAGGCTGCAGGAGTACAGGACCGTCCGGAGAAGCCAGTATACTCGGTGGTCTGGAAGATGACAAATGAGGTGTCGAATCAAGCTCGACGCTCATAGATGTGCGAGAGTGAGAAGTCGCAGCCAGCAATGTACCTTGCGCCACAGGAGATCTTGTCGGAACATTTCGTTCATCCGAAATATCTGAGCAATTCGAATCAGATCCAACAGCAGTACGATCAGACATAGTCCCGTGCGATTGGAGAGATGCAGACTGCCGAGCAGGCGCATCCGGACGGGTGGACAGCGTCATCGGAAATGGCCTTGGGGACGAGGATGTCTGTGTGCGAGTTCCGACTGCAGGACCATCGAATCGGGTATCAAGAGCCATGCGAGATGTTGCGCAGTTGCTTGGGCTCCTTTGTGACTTTGGCTCGGTAGTCAAGCCAGCCAGATCTTGTGCCTTCAATATGCGTCTCCTAAGCTCCGCGTGTGATACTACCGCTCAAGTCAGCTATATGCGTCCAATTGTCCATCCCATGGTGTACCTGTCTGTTCATCTAGAGCATCAAGGACTTTGGAATGAACTACTCGACGTTTGGAATTGCTGGAACGGCTATCGGTGCTGGTGGTGGAGCTCGGTGGTTTTCGATACCCACCGTCAGCTGGCCAAGTTTCGTTCGCCGTTTCTTTCCTGACAACGTTATGATATTCATGATTGGTAAGCTGTCTCTCGCGCCTCGCTGCTGCTAAGTTTATCCCGTCTCGTATTGTGCCAGGGTTGGAGGCTGCAGGCCGAAGGGATGATGGCGCCAGTCGTAAAGATCGATTTGCGAAATGCTTCTTCTCGAGGCGATTTTCTGTATCTTTGGAGCGCGCCTTTGCCAGATTCCTGCATCATAACAAGTATTTTAATCATTGAGGACAAATGCAGATATATGCATGCGTATCCAGGTATACGCACATGCGACCGCCTGTCCAATTTGCACCACCCATAGATGGTCGTCAGGGCGAATCCTAGACGCGTCAGTGACGTAACACGAGTGAACAGCAAACGAATGTCATTATCACGCCACGTCAACCCAAGGTCATTTACACATTCAGTTTGTTTCCCCAAGAATCAGTAGCCAGTGCCATACGGGCAGAGACCAGCAAGTGGAACAGAGCCCGACCGTGCGTAACAGATCATTGATTGAAGGCATGCTGTGCTGGTGCAATTCCCGCCTTTCACTGAGCTTTTGCTCTCGTATGTGTAAAACTTCTCGATCAGGCTGGGATTAAGTTCCCACTGCTCCGTAACAAGGTGCCACCAAGTAGCATTTAAAGGAGCGGTGGAAGGCCATGAGATGTTTGCGCCATATGCCTCCCGAGCGGAGTACTCGAACGTGAACACTGCGCCGTGCTCAGCTTGCGCGTCGAGGGCAGGGGCATCGGAGATATTAGAAATCCATGTGTACGAGTCGAGGACATTGAACGTAACAGGATCGATGTCGTAGGCGCGGAAGCCGGAATTGAGGTTCGTTAGCGGGGTGAGAGACGGTGCAGTCCAGGCGGTCGCTAGTGCGCTGGCAGCGGAAGGGTCGGAACCGTTGTTGGCGTAGAAAACCGAGAACTGATCTTCGTGGGTGTGACCAAAGAAGATCTCAGCAATCACGTGAGGAGAGTATCGCTCAACGATCTGGTAGAAAAGATTTGTGGGATTCGCCGTGGACGGCGAACCATTTCAGCCCGAAGGAACGTGTCCAATGATCCAAACACGTTGACCGGCGTCCTCCGAAATCTGCAAATTGTCCGCCATCCAGCGCAATTGGCCCGAAATGTCGGGATTAGTAGTGTTGATATAGTTGAACCAATTGTCACCGTACCCTGAGATACATTTGTGTTAATAACAATGTGGGATTGGCTACAGTCACTCACAGAAATCGCTGTTGAACGAAATGATCTTCAGACTTCTCCAAGTCGTGATGGCATAACCTCCATAGTGCACACTAGCATATTGGTAAGCGGTACTATCCACCCAACCCTTTTGAGCCCAGAGAGCTGAGATATGCTCATAGTTCCAGGAGAACTGATTCCCGAGATATTCCGGCTCCAGGGTGAGAGGTGCAGCACATGCTTGAGGCCATGTATCATGGTTGCCCAAAGCCGCATAAACCGGGGTGCTACCGAGTGCAGATTGAATCAAGAAAAATCTGGTGTTCAGGATGAGCCAAGAAATATCGCAGAGGGAGTAGGAGACGTACGTGATTGATTCTTCGTACTCGATATAAGTCCGACCAAGCTGCAGAGGCCAGTTGTGATTATCATGGGAAATGAGGTCTCCGGTGAAAATGGCGAAGTCGAACTCTCTGCCGGTTGGGCCAGCGCCCGCAAGAACAGGTATGGCTTCAATCGCAACACCAGCGAGATCCATGGGGAGATCACACTGAAAAGCACCAAATCTCGGTGCTGGCAAGAGAGTTGTATTCGGGCTGGAGGAAGCGTACGCGTTGTACCGGCAGCACATGTACTGGCTGCACTCGACTTCAGAGCCAATATCGTAGCGGGGATCAAGGTGGAAGTCGGACAAGTGGAGCACTCGGACGCGTTCTCCTGATGACGGAGGAGCAACCGCATTGGTGGGCTTGGCAGTGGCAAAGTATCCAGTCATGTTAAGGACGTTTGGAGGGGGAACAGTGCATGCGCCCTCGGAAACCAGTCAGGACATAGTCAATTACATCCAGGCAAATCACCTACTCCAACCCAGTGTGCACAAATAGCTTGCCCATCTTGGCCTGCAACGTCAGCCAAAGCTAAGACTTGAGTAGCAACATCGCCTTCCGACGTAATTCCATAAGTTTCGGCGCAAGAACCGTAGGTCTACAACCGTGATCAGAGTAACAACAAAGATTGGATTGATGTCGACGGACCGCAAAATTATATTTATCACACAATGCGACCATCACATTAGGCACTTCCCAAGGAGCCGTGTTTGCGAGGACCTTGCCTATGCTCAGGGCTGCCTGGCACTTTCCGCAGCTGTCCACAATGTCGGCGGTATCGATGATGTCAACGATGCTCTGGAATGTCTGAGCAGCGAGTGCGAGGGATCCTGGTGTAGACAAGTTATACGTGGGAATTATGGGCCCAGTGACTTGCTCGGTCAGTAATGAGGGAGGAATGACATAAGGATCCACGAAATCACCCTAGAGAGTTCCGTCAGGTTAATTTGTAAAGAAAGATGTGGCACACTACTCACATCTTGAATGGGATACGGCTGGGTAAGCTCGAGGGGAAACACTGAACCAGTCACGGGGTCTGTAACTATGGGTTGAACCTCCTTGGTGGTCTGCGTGGGCTCAAATCCTGGCCAGTACTCCGCAAAGAGGGAGCTGGGAAACGCAATTCCACCTGTGAAAGCAGGTGACGCGGTTCGTAGGTACGGGGGAAGGGTTGGTGATTGCGCTAGGGAACTTGCCAGGCAGAACATAGCAACAGTGAGATATGCGGCCATGTTGTCAAGCGGGTGTCCTGGCCGAGCAAGGCTTGTTTCCACAAGCGCCAGCCCAATATTTTTTGAGAAAGCATATTATATCTCCACTGGGGTAGAGAGGGATAAACCCTCTGTCGAGAACATGTGAGCATTTGCATGTCATCTCTAATCATGAGCATATCGACGAGTCTCCATATGGCCCAGGGTGTAATCCCAAGACATTATTTGAGCAAACCTGCACCCAACTCCAGGGAAGCCATCACATGTGCACACAATTTGGCATCAGACAGCAGAGAATACTAGAAGTGATTGACGAGCATACAGCTGGTGTCGTTGAGCTGGTGAGCTGGGCGGCTGCGGTCCTTCAGTTGGATACCAAGCGGAATGCAGTATCATCACACAGTGTCAGGGGCAAACAGAAAAGCTGAGCACCACGATGCCTCGACATTTGCTGTCAATCCAAAAGAACCAACTGCGCCAGCGAGACCATGCACCACTAGTACTAGTGCTTGTCAGGTTGGGAGTTTTGAAGGGTTCAATATTAGAATCACAACAATGGAGCCAATTGGGCATCTCTAGTCACGTGACGGCATAACAACGGGAACACCCTTCAACCCAAGATTTCTACACAAGGACATACAAGCCTTTCTATATGCTACTTCGAGAATGTTCATTACTGAACCGAGCCATATGTAGATCCATATGGGCAGAGGCCAGCAATAGGGACGGATGCGGATCGAGCATAGCAAATCTTGGACTCCACGCACGCAGTACTGGTACAGTTTGTGGTCTTGACTGAACTCTTACCTTCGTAAACAGTGAATTTCCCCACTAGACTGGGATTGATCTGCCACTGCTCGGTAACAAGATGCCACCAAGTGGCATTGATGGGTGCGTCGGTAGGCCACGATATGTTGGCTCCATATGCCTCGCGGGCGGAGTACTCAAAAGTGTAAGTTGGTCCATATGTCGTCTGATTATCCAGTACTGGGGCAGCCGAGATGTTAGAGAACCATGTGAACGAGTCGACGATGTTGAATGTGACAGGATCAACATCATAGGCACGGAAGCCAGAGTTCAGGTTGCTGAGCGGAGTAAGGGACGGGGCGGTCCATGCAGTCGTCAGAGCACTTGTAGCGGATATGTTTGTGCCATTGTTGGCGTAGTAGATAGAGAATTCGTCCTCGTGGGTATGGCCGAAGAAGATTTCAGCAATCACGTGAGGTGAATAGCGATCGACAATTTGATAGAAGAGATTTGTCGGGTTCGGAAGGGCTTGATTCCCATTCCAGCCAGGAGGCACATGGCCAATGATCCAAACCCGCTGACCAGCATCTTCCGAGGCTTGTAGTTCGTCGGCCATCCAACGGACCGGAAATGTCGGGGTCGGTCGTGTTGATGTAGTTGAACCAATTGTCCCTGTACCCTGATCATGACAAACTGAATGAGGTCATTGCGGTGTCAATCGGAACCACTTGCTCCAGAAGTCGGTGTTGAAGGAGATTATCTTCAGCCCTCTCCAAGTGGTATACGCATAGCCGCCATAGTGGACACTGGCGTATTCGTATGCTGCGCTGTCGACCCAGCCAGCTTCAGCCCAGAGGGCAGCAATGTGCTCGTAATTCCACGAGAACTGGTTAGCCAGATATGTGGGCTGAAGCGTCAGAGGCGAATTGTAAGCTTGTGGCCATGAGTCATGGTTGCCAAGAGTCGGATAGAGGGGCGCATAACCGATCGCATACTTGATCATGTTATAGCTGAACAATGCCTTAAGAGCATGCTGAAGACTCTTAACAGCACAAAGACATATATTAAAGTTTCCTCGTACTCAACGTACGCGTGACTCAATTGGTTGTCATTCTCATGCGAAACAAGATCACCAGTGAAGATGGCAAAGTCGAATTCTCTTCCAGTAGGCCCGGCACAGGCAAGTATAGGAATAGCCTCGATTGCGGCACCAGCAAGATCATAAGGGGTATGGCAATAGTAAGCACCATATCTCGCCGCAGGTAGTATTGTGCTGTTAGGACTTGCGATGTTCGAGCTGTAGGAGCGGCAACAAAGGTATTGTGAACAGTCCGCTTCCGAGTATGTTGAGTACCGAGGGTCGAGGTGGAAATCGGACAGATGCAACACACGAATGTGCTCGCCGCTTGGCGGCGGTGCCACGCTATTGGCTGGTTTCGGCGACGCGAAGTAACTTGTCATATCAAGCTCATTTGCGCTGGGAGAGGGCAAGAAGACTAGGAAAGTACTGTTAGAATAAGCGAGTGCAGCGGGCTGGCACACACATCGATGAACAGGGAGCAAAGATGTTGCCCGTCCTGACCAGTCACGTCGGCCAGTGCTAAGACTTGGGTCGCAATATCCCCATCGCTATTAATGTCGAAATTCTCCGCGCACGTTCCGTAGCTCTGGACGGGTAGTTAGATGCTAATCGAAAGCACAATCAGAGCACTCACAGCATACCCGAACATATTGCAAAGACTAATCATGACACCTGGAACCTCCCATGGTGCAGTGTTGGCTAGAGCCTTCCCAACGCCAAAGGCGGCTAAGCACTTTCCACAAGTCTCGTTGATGTTGGGGCTGGTAATAATTTCAACAATATTCTGGAGAGCTTGCGACGCGAGTGCAAGCGAGCCAGGCGTTGACAATTTTGTCGAAGGGAGCAGAGGTCCAGTAACGGCAGCGGTCAACAGAGATGGAGGAAGGACATAGGGGTCGGTAGTATCAGACTATTGCATTTCAGCTATGACAGGTTTACTCCAGTATGCGAGAGGACGTACGTCTGGGATGGTAGCCGGATCCGTCAACTCCAGAGGATAGACCACTCCGCTGATCGGATCTGTGATCTTGGGTTGAGGCTGAACCGTGATCTGTGTAGGCTCGAAGCCCGGCCAGTATTCCGCAAACAGGTAGCTGGGAAAGTACGGTTGACCGGTGTACGCTGCCGACGCAGTCTGTAGATAAGGAGGGAGGGTTGGTGTCTGTGCCCATGATGCAGCGGCACAAGAGAAGAGAACGAGCGCCATGGCGATGTCAGCCTACCTAACGTCTGAAGTCCTCTGGCTAACAGTCACGCAGTACGGCATGCCGCCTTTATCCCTGGTTCAGAGAGTGGGTATTAGAACAACCGATCATCTGGGGTGGGAATTGGGAATTGGCGAAGTCTCGTGGATTCGTCCATGCCCGGAGCGTCTGATCAAGAAGTTTGCAGTCCAACCGTAATTGCAGCATGGCGTGGTCGCACGGGACGAACGTGCCAATTTTTTTTACTGATCTAATCAGGGAATACCGTACAATTTAGGACCACAAGGAACTAACGCATTGTGTCAAGCAAGAATAATGTGCTGGATAGCAGTGCGGAGACTAGAAGTTCTTTTCCACCAACGCTGGCACCATAAATTTCACTTGACCCGACGCGTCGGCAGTCACGTGCCTCTGACTCGAACGGAGGCTGAGAAGACCGTTGCTAATTTTTTTCCCATCAACCACCTCAGATACAAAGAACATCGTAGAAAATCTCAGTATAAGTACGGCTATATTCGTCCGAAGAATACGTCGGATGAAGGCGGGATTCTTTATTGGACGGACCCGTACGTCGACCCGTACGGGCACAGACCGGCAAGCGGAACAGAGCCCGACCGGGCATAACAAATCTTCGACTGCACGCATGCCGTGCTGGTGCAGTTGGTCGTATACGTCGAGCTCTTCCCTTCATATATCGTGAACTTCTCCACAAGGCTCGGGTTGACTTCCCATTGTTCAGTGACGAGATGCCACCAGGTGGCGTTGAGCGGCGCGTCTACAGGCCAGGAGATGTTGGCTCCGTACGCTTCGCGTGCAGAATACTCGAACGTGTATGTCGCACCGACGGCAGACTGGTTGTCCAGTGCGGGGGCTGCGGTGACGTTCGAGAACCACGTGTAAGAATCGAGGATGTTGAACGTGACAGGGTCGATATCATACGCGCGGAACCCAGAGCTCAGGTTGGTTAGCGGAGTGAGGGAAGGAGCAGTCCATCCAGTAGCGACCGCAGTTTCCGCCGACATTGTGGTGCCATTGTTGGCGTAGAATATGGAGAACTCGTCTTCGTGTGTGTGGCCAAAGAAGATCTCGGTAATGACAATGCGGGGAATAGCGGTCAACGATCTGATAAAACAAGTTTGTGGGGTTCGGGAGAGAGTTCGTGCCGCTCCAGCCGGGCGGGACGTGTCCAATTATCCAGAAACGCTGGCCTGCGTCCTCGGACGCTTGAAGCTCATCCGCCATCCAGCGGAATTGACCGGAGATATCGGGGTCAGAGGTGTTCAAGTAGTTGAACCAGTTGTCGCGGTACCCTTGTCTCAGGCGTTAGGTACATTTATCACGACTGACAGTTATTACACTTACAGAAATCCGTGTTGAAGGAAATGATCTTCAGGCCCCTCCATGTAGTGTACGCATATCCGCCATAGTGAACACTAGCGTACTGATACGCCGTACTGTCAATCCAGTCCTGCTGAGCCCAAAGTGCTGAGATATGCTCATAGTCCCAAGAAAACTGGTTTGCCAGATACTCCGGCTGAAGGCTCAGAGGGGAATTGTATGCTTGAGGCCAGGTGTCGTGGTTACCTAGAGTAGGGTAGAGGGGAGCATATCCAATGATTTGCTTCATCATCGAGTAGCTGGAGAGGATTGTCAATACATTAGAATCGATAGGGATACTTGTACGCACATTGATGTCTCCTCGTATTCGACATACGCGCGTCCGAGCTGGTGATCATTGTCATGTGAAACGAGGTCACCAGTGAAGATAGCAAAATCGAATTCCCGTCCGGTCGGACCAGCTCCGGCAAGGACCGGGATAGCTTCGACTGCAACACCGGCAAGGTCATACGGCGTATCGCACAGGAACGCTCCGTAGCGAGGGGCGGGGAAGACAGTTGTGTTCGGGCTCGCGAGGTTGTTGCTACACGAACGGCAGCAAAGCCCGCTCGAGCAGTCGGCCTCCGAATAGGTGGAGTAACGGGGATCGAGGTGAAAGTCGGAGACATGGAGAACACGGACACGTTTGCCACTTGGAGGAGGAGCGGCTGCGTTTGCCGGCTTGGGAGAGGCGAAGTACCCTGTTAGGTCGAGCGTGTTGACGGCTGGAAGAGAACAGGAACTCTGATGGCTCCGTTCAATAGATAAGACAGGGTGTAGAGAGGGATACATACACCTAACCAGAGAGCACATAGGTACTCTCCATCCTGGCTCGTAACATCTGCGAGTGCCAATACTTGAGTAGCAATCTGCCCGTCGGTGATCACCGCAAACTGCTCAGCGCAAGTGCCGTAGCTCTGAAGAATAGATGAGAGGTGGGGATAATGTTTCTAATCAAAGCGCTCACCTTATAACCGAAGATGTTGCAGAGCTCGATGATAACACCAGAGACTTCCCAGGGAGCAGTTGTAGCCAGCATCTTCACCACCCCAAGGGCAGCCAAGCATTTCCCGCACGTGCCCTCAATCTGGGAGCTGTTCGTGATCTCGAGGATGCTCTGAAGAGTCTGTGCCGCGAGCGCAAGTGAGCCTGGAGTAAACAGGTTCATATTCGGCAGCAGGGGTCCTGTGACCGCGTCCGGGAAGAGCAGTGAGGGAGGAATGACATAAGGATCTGTCGTATCGTACTACACAAGATCAATCTTGCGCTTCCAACCGCGATACGCGTCACTCGCGTCGGGGATCGTGTCCGGGTCCGTCAGTTCCATAGGGTAGATCGTCCCACTCACGGGATCTGTGATCTTAGGCTGAGGCTGGACGGACGTTTGAGTAGGCTCAAACCCAGGCCAGTACTCGGCGAACAGCGAGCTGGGAAAGTATGGTTGACCAGTGAATGCAGCTGAAGCCGTCTGTAAATAAGGAGGCAAGGCTGGTGTCTGAGCTAAGGCCGTAGCAGCAATCGACAGGGAGAGGAGGAGCGCCATACTGAGCAGGATGGAGGTGCCCTGGAGTAGCAGAGCGTCCAGTACCCAGACTATAAGTGTTCATTTCACAGGCTAGGTGGATGAACTGAGTCTCCGACTTCCTGGGACCGCATGACGTAGAAAAAATCCCTGATCGATGCAAATGGCACCGAAGCAGAAGAGTGCGGCGACTAGCTAGAGCGTTCGAGTGCAGGCAGCCAGCATCCCAGACACTTAAATACCTCACGCTCGCGAACAGCCGACGAACGTGCAGACAGCGAGATCAGGCACAGGCGCATGGTCCACGAGAAGAGAGAGCATATATGCGTGTGAGCAGGAGGCGAGAGATGCGCTGGTGAACCTTCGAAAGCGGACAAGGACTAGCTCGAAAAGTGCTGGCACAAAGGTGGTCCATGCGGCAGCCTTCGAGATCACGTGCCGATTTCCAGATAACTTCCGATCTGTCTTTCTTTCTCTGATCCTTTCACCCTCGGCCTCAGAGCTAAATGGACTATCACTTTCCAACTCCGGATTTCGTAAGGCTTGTCTGGGCCAGTGAGAACGTCGGCCGAAAATCACGTGATATTGCACCCTTCTGAGGAACACGTCGAGATGGGAAGCACGGAGAGCCGTCGGCAGGAACGGCTCGTCTTCTACCGAATCACCGCGGCACCTAAACTTGCCACCAACAAACATGCAACACGCCAAGTAAAATAAGAGGTGCGACACCCATCAACCAGCTAAATACCATTCAACCCATTTTTACAAAATAAATTTCAGGCTAGGCTCAGGAAAGATGTAGGGGAGGGGAGGGGGCGACTACTGCACCGACCCGTACTTGGAGCCATACGGGCACGCCCCGGAGATAGGGAACGACCCACTCCTCGCGTAGCATATCTTGCTCTCTACGCATGCCTGGCTCGTACAGTTCCCAGTCTTGACTGAGTTCTTCCCTTGATACGTCGTGAACTTCTCGACGAGGGAGGGGTTGGATTCCCACTGCTCGGTCACGAGGTGCCACCAGGTTGCGTTTAGCGGGGCAGTTGCGGGCCAGGGGATGTTCGCGCCGTACGCTTCGCGCGCGGAGTATTCGAACGAGTAGACTGCTCCGTGCGAAGTCTGGTTATCCACTGCGGCGGCGGCGGAGATGTTGGAGATCCAGGTGTACGAGTCGAGTACGTTAAACGTCACCGGGTCGACGTCATATGCCCTAAACCCGCTGTTCAGGTTCGTAAGCGGGGTGAGGGAGGGCACGATCCAGCTCGTCGCAAGGGCAGTGGCCGCCGAAGGGTTCGTAGCATTGTTATCATAGTACACCGCGAACTCGTCCTCGTGGTTATGGCCAAAGAATATCTCGGCGATGACGTGGGGAGAGTAGCGAGCCACAATCTGGTAGAACAAGTTCGTAGGGTTCGGGATGGCGCTGTAGGCGTCCCAGCCGGGAGGGACGTGGCCGATGATCCATACGCGCTCGCCTGCGTCTTCAGACTTTTGGAGTTCGTCGGTCATCCACCTGAATTGGCCGGAGATGTCAGGGTTAGATGTGTTGATATAGTTGTACCAGCTTCTGCAGGTTAGCGCCGTTCATTGACAGGAGACAGCAGGGAGGCTCACTTGGCCGTGTACCAGAAATCCGTGTTGAAGGAGATGACCTTGAGCCCCCTCCAAGTGGTATACGCATATCCACCATAATGCACACTAGCGTAAGCTTTGGCAGTGTCGTCGATCCACCCATTCATAGCCCAGAGGGAGGAGATGTGCTCGTAGTTCCATGAATACTGGTCAGCGAGGTAGGAAGGCGTGAGCGTGACAGGTGAGTTGAGGGCTTGAGGCCAGGAGTCGTGGTTGCCCAGTGCGGCGAAGAGGGGAGAGCCACCGATCGCGTGCTTGATCATCGAGAAGCTGCACTTGAGTCAGCCTTGTTGGTGAATACATGGGAAAAAGTTGCGCACATGGACGTCTCCTCATACTCGACATACGCCCTTCCCAGCTGGTTATCATTATCATGGCTGACAAGATCCCCCGTAAAGATCGCGAAATCGAACTCCCTTCCCGTCTTTCCCGCGCCCGCCAGCTCAGGGATAGCCTCGACCGCCACACCTGCGAGGTCGTACGGTGTATCGCAGCTATATGCACCGTAACGAGGAGCAGGGAGAACAGTCTTGTTCGGGCTGGAGTTGGCGTCTGAGTACGAGCGGCAGCAGAGGTACTGAGAGCAGGATGCTTCTGCGTGCGTGGCGTACCGAGGGTCGAGGTGGAAGTCGGACAAGTGAAGGACACGAATGCGTTCGCCGGAGGGAGGGGGAGCGACGGCGTTCGCAGGCTTGGGCTTGGAGAAATACCCGTCCATGTCCAGGGTGTTGACGGCGGGGAGGTCGCATGCGGACTGCCCGGCAGGGTTAGAAGAGAGAGAGGTAGGGAGGAAACCTTACGTTGAATGACATCGCGCATATATACTCGCCGTCCTGTCCGGTGACATCCGCAAGAGCCAAGATCTGGGCAGCAACATCACCATCGGAGGTGATTCCAAAGTTCTCCGCGCAGGTGCCATAGCTCTACCCATCCGCATGAGTACCATCCTCTCCCAACATAATTGACACGCACGTCGTAACCATACAAGTTGCACAACTCAATAAGCACACCAGGGATCTCCCAAGGCGCCGTATTAGCCAGAACCTTTCCGACCCCAAGCGCGGCCAAGCACTGCCCGCACGTATTGTTAATCAGCGCGCCCGTAGTGCCATTGATGATGTCCATAATGCTCTGTACAGCCTGGGAGGCGAGCTGCGACGACCCCGGAGTGGACAGAGAGGCGTTGGCAGGCAGGGGGCCGGTGATGACGGCTTGCAACAGCGAGGGGGGAAGAACATATGGATCGGTCAGGTCGTTCTACAACAGCGTCAGCGCACAGCGAGTATGAAGGAGGAAAACGCACATCAGGGATCGTGTTGGCATCTGTGAGCTCGAGAGGGTAGACGACGCCCGAAACGGGATCAGTGACCTTAGGCTGGACCTGAGACTTCGTCTGGGTAGGCTCATATCCCGGCCAGTATTCTGCGAACAAGTTGGCAGGGAAGTTGGGCTTGCCAGTGAAGGCAGAAGAGGCGGTAGCGAGATGCGGAGGGAGCTGGGCGTACGTGCCCAGTGTGGGGAGGAGGAGGAGAGCTAGCATCCTTGGAATGAGAATACTGGAGAGAGCGCCCTGGTATGTCATGTTCCATTGCAGGCCAATTTATCTTGTTGAGAGATCTAATCAGTGATCCATATGCGTCTTCTGTTCGGATTGATGAAGTCCGTTCCTGCGCATGTGCAACATCCCACAGTGGACGTATTCTTTTCCCATCCAAAGAGGCGAATAATGAAATGAGCCGGCAACAACGATATCCCGAGGATGAACAACGTGCACTTACAAACAACTCTCAAGACGTCTGATATCTGACAGCTTGGTTAAATAACATCCATCTATGAGATCCCCGGTGCTGAGATAGGCAGTCCTTCCGTCCTACAGTACTGGTTGTTCATGTCCAGACTCATGGAATGGAGCGCACGTTCCTCGAACAGAGCGGCACTTTTGGCACATGTGGAAAGGGTGGATGGACCCTGGAACAACAATGTGAGACTGCAATGTCCCACTTATGCCAAGCATGTGCCAGAGCTATTTCCGGTCTGGACAAACACGTCATTAGAAGCTGGACTAGACCACGCGACGCCACTGCTGAATCTACCTACACCTCCCTCGCTCCGATCCACTTGTTCACCATCGCCACCGCCGCACTTGGCTTGTTGTAGGCTACCATATGCCCCGCCCCCTGCACAGTAGCATACAACAGCTTTCCCGTCTTCCCCTCCACCTGCGCGGCCTTCCATTCCCCTCCTGCCCAGGTACTGAGTGCCTCGGCGTTAAACGCCGCTTGCCCGTGCCATTCGAGCGCTTCGAGCCACCGGATGTTGCCGACCCAGTTACAGATCCAGTCGTAGGTGCCAACGTAGATCAGCGCGTCCACGCCTCGCTCGAGCAGGGAGGAGACGTAGAATGACGTTGGACGGTAGCTGTCGAACCTTTCCCTGACTAATATGCACATCGTCAATCAACATGTCTCTGTGTGTATCTTGGAGGACGTACAGCCAGCGTTGATCGTGTTATTGCATCCGACGAACACCCCTACGGCAGGATCTACACCCAACTGCGCTCGCGTGGAAGGCGTGTTCAAATACTTCGAAATGCTGTTGAAGATAGGATAACAAAGCGCATGAATCCCACCTTTACATTCCTGTTCCCTTTTCAGCTTCTGTCGCGTTCAGCAAAGAAAGATCGTACGTTATCGCTTAGGTCATAAGGGTTCCGCTCTGTAACGCGATACGGTGCGCTCAGCTCGTTCTCGCAGAAGAGAGTAGCGGCCGTGCATGCGAGGTCAGACTGTTCTAGCTCACACGAAGCCGTGAGCAATTCCCTACAGCGCGGGAGGGCCCGGCGCATCCGTACGCAGGTGCTGATGTCTAGCACTGGGGGGACGGAGGCGCTCGTGCATGCCATGTCATAGTAGGCGAGGATCGTCCTGATCTCCGTGAGTATGATGCATGTCAGGGAGAAATGGGCACACACTCCTTAGCATCGGTGATCCCGTCGCCGATGACGATACTCTTCAGGTTGATGGGCGTGAAGCCCCTCTTCTCCGCACTCCGATTCATATCCCATATCTCGCTCGCAAACACCGGCACATATCGCCCCCCATACGAGCTCCCAGCCAAATGGAACGGTCTCCCTTTAAACTCAGCAAATGCCTCTGTAAAGATGAACGCAAACGCCGCCGCATCCTTTGCCGCATCCTCGGTAGTGTACACCTCCTCCCCGAACTCGGAGTAGGAGAACCCGACGTTCACGGGTGAGTCGAGGTAGAAGATGTTCACTTCTGCGTTCCAGCCGTGGGGGTTGTATAGCGTGCCGTTCCCTGAGGGGTCGACCGTGCACGGCCCGATCTGCATAAGCATGTCCATGCTGCTTGAGCACCCAGGGCCGCCAGTGACCCACATCACCAAGTCGTCTGTTGCGGGGCTACGGCGGCTCTCGAAGAACTTCAATAAACTGTCAGTAACTTCCTATGCTGGGAACAGAAGTGCCCACGTAAAACCACATATGCTTCGCACCCTGTGCAACATCAAGGTACCCAGTATACACCTTCACACCAGTATCGCACCACCCCTCAGTACGCTTCACGCGCACCCCATATCCAGGGAAAGCAGCGTGCGAGAGCTGAGTGTACTCTCCAGGAAGGATATGCGCGAGTTCCCGCTCCGGTGCCGGGAAGTCGATAGGCTGGAAAGACGTCTGGATCGCCTGAGTCGCCTTGAAGGCCAGCAGGCTCAGAACGAGCTTGGAAAGGAAGTTCATCGTGGTCAATGATCAAGACGTTCTTTCGTGATTAGGAGGAACCATAGTCCTTGTAGAGGACCGGGTTGACTTCTCCGGAAGAGAGCTATTAGTGAACACATCGTTGTTGTCAAAGTGGACGGGTTCACACCGGCGAAGTAGGAGGATATCAGGTCGCGCTTCCCAGGGTCACACTTTTAGGTTCGACGATCCCCGGAGCCGAGTGTATTTATCCGAAAGGATTATGTTGTGCATTTGTTTTCGGTTGCGAGTCGCGCCCTACCTGTACTTGGAGTGCTCTGTACCTTTACATCTTGATATGTGGTTAACAAAAATCTACTGCCGAGGTCTGTTTGGCAGTAGAAGGGACTATCGTGCCCCCGGCGATCGCTAGCTGTCGTATCGCGTGAGGGCTGGAACAGAAGGTGTCTGCGTGAGGGCTGGAACAGAAGGTGTCTGCGAGAAGTTCGCGATGCGATGGCGCATGGAGCGCATTCACAAGTCCGCTATCGTGGATAGGCGGTAAAGACTTATACTTCATGGATATATATGTATCCTGGGCGTCTGGATGGCTTGAAGGTCTCACAACCCTCGTCTCCTATGATAGTCTCAGAGTTGACTGACGACCATGTCCTGGCTCACGAGCAAATTTCGCGCACTTGGTGATCGGCAGTCATGGGCGCTCCACCCGGAGCCATCATTTCTCGCTCCCAACAGCAAGCTCAGCAACCGGGACATGGACCCCACCCCGCCCGAGAAGCGGACATGGAAGATGGTCAACTTCACCGTTCGTTGTTTCTTTCCGAATCCCCAGACCCCGCTCACGCGACCTGAATACAGACATACTGGATATCAGACACGTTCAATGTCGCTAGCTGGGATCAAGCGTCTGCCTTGCTTACTCTGGGCATGTCAGCGGGACAGGCACTCGCATGTATTTTCGTTGGAAACCTTATCATCTCCTGGGCTATCACCGCGACCGGCACCATCGGAGCAAGGCACCACGTCCCTTTCCCAGTCCTGAATCGCTCGTCTTTCGGCTTCTACCTGTCGTATTTCTCAATTATTGGTCGTTGCATTTTGGCGTGCTTTTGGCAGGGTATCCAAACAGCTACGAGTGGCGAATGCGTCTACCAGATGATCAGAGCGATCTGGCCGTAGGACGTTTCAATTATGGCTTTGCACTCTGTTTGACTCTCTAGCTCAGGAGCTTTGAAGACTTTCCCAACCATCTCCCTTCGTCAGCCAACATTACCTCTGCGAATCTCCTAGCCTACTTCATCTACTGGGCTTTCCAGTTCCCCTGGGTCCTCATCCCGACACACAAGCTCCGCTGGCTCTTTGCTCTCAAGTCCGTCTTGGTCATCATCTGCGGCTTCTCGATGATGATATGGGCTTTCATCCGTGCGGGAGGGGCTGGGCCAATATTTTTACAACCGGCGACGCTATCTGGTTCAAAGCTTGCTTGGGCCTGGCTGGCGGGATTGCAGAGCGTGCTTGGGACTTACTCCACGCTGTGTGTGGTCTCTTTCTGCTGCTTCCTCAACTTGACTAACTTGGAACTGCAGCGGTGAATATCCCCGATTTTACCCGCATGGCTAGGGCGCCACGAGAGTAGGGAACGCGGATTCCATCATTCGGACGTTTCTAACTTCAGTTGTTAGCCAATATGTGCAGCTCATTGTGACGCCCATCTCTTTCACTATTATCGCTTTGGTCAGTCTTATGCGAACCTCTGACGTCTTCCTCGCTAACTATTCTCTTATAGCAAGGGATTGTCGTTACCTCCACTGGCTACATCCTCTACGGCGACTACTATTGGGATCCTCTACGCTTGATGAACAACTGGGACAATCGTGCCGCCACTTTTTTCGCGGCATTCGCATTCGCTGTTGCGACGTTGGGGACCAACATTGGAGCAAATTCGATCTCGGCTGCTAATGACTTCACGGCGCTGCTTCCAAGAGTGAGATCTGCGCGCAGATTTGACCAATGAGCATGCTGAACTCAGGTGGACAGTGGTTTAACATCAGACGAGGACAGGTGCTGTGCGCCATCATCGGAGCGTGGGTCATCATCCCATGGGAAATCCTGGCAAAGTAGGTATCAAGCATCAAATGAGTCTAACCCCTTCTGATCATGAGATAACGCGTCCGGTTTCCTCAGTTTCATGAGTGGATACACGGTCTTCCTTGGCCCAATATGTGCCATCATGGTTGTCGATGTGAGTGTGGTTTCTACCTTTGGTCTTAGCTGACCCGGAGCATTATACAGTACTGGTTCATCCGAGGCCAAAAGCTAGACGTTCCTGCTCTGTACGATCCCAATGGAAAATATCGCTCTACGGCTGGCGTAGTGCGTATGTCTATCCTTATCTTGTTGCTCCACTCATGCACCCCCAGAATTGGCGTGCCGTTGCCGCGCTCGTTGTATCCATCCCACCTAATCTTCCAGGCTTGATCAATGCCATCAATCCGTCCATCCCTGTCTGGGGTGGTGTGTACCCGTAAGCAACTTCTCCATGTGTATTGGCGCCTGTTGAACGGATGGTATGTAGTTTCGATATCTCCTGGCTTTTTGGGGCACGTATAAGTTCTTTCTGCCCCTCAGTCGCGCACTTATCTCGTATCTTCAGTTCTTCCTAGCAGCTGTCACGTACTTCATTGTCTGCAAGATCTTCCCGCCTTTACAGACTTTCGTTCCAGAGACAATAACCGGTGAGGAAGAGTACCCCTCAACGCCTTCCGATGAGAGAGACGAGAAGTAAAACGAGCAAGACAAGACCGTTGTGGAAGAGGTCACAATCCAAGAGGTGTAGCTTTCTCGGTGATATAGAAACAGTCTACATCCCACTGCATATATTGTGGTAGTGGCACCATGAACCAGGGTATATCTCATAACTACTACCGTGTAATCAAAATTTGGCAACAGAAACTGATCAGAAACCAAACACAAAATCTTTCTGTGAAATTATTAAATAGAAATTTCGGAGTCAATGCATTCTCGCCATATTCCTCCACCGCCAAGACTCAGCACCCCAAACACGGACGACCACCGTCAAGCTGGTCTCAGCTTGTCGTGTCTTACACTTAAACAATGGGAAGCCGTCAACTCGTCAAATGCTTATGGCCTGATGCCTGTCCTCACCGTCGGCAGTCGCTCCCCTCTATCAAGCGTTCACACCCCCGAGTATAACGATGAAACGCGATGCGTTGCTCCTCGTGGTCTCATTAGCCAGCGGCGTGCTCGTCTTCTGGTCAGCGTCGCGCGCCTTCAACACCTGCCCCACAACACTATCCGGCGAACTCTCCGTTAATGCTGGCAACGCAGGTGGTGTCTTTAACCATGTGAACGTGCTTCAAGAATCGGCAGAATCGTGGTTGGGATGGAATAGACGACCGCAAGACATCCCATTCCGCTTGTCGGATGGGATGGTTGAGCACGGATCGGAAAGGTCCGACAGGAGCACGACGATTGACCCTACAGAAGTTGTACTTCACGCCGCTGGTAAGTCTGTTACCTTCTATCTGACTATGGAGTTTATATACTTATTGTGTAATGGAAAGGAAACACTGCGTTTGAAAACCTCTACGTCTACGACGGTGCGATCCATATAGTCACGGACAACTCCTCAGCGCTCCCCGAACTAAAGCATATCACCTCCAACGGTGTTTCCCTGAACTTGGGACACAGCAACCCATCAGATGAAGACATCCGAGTACTGAGTGTGCAGGGAGCCGAGATGGCCTTTGGAGGTGCAGCAGCGCCCTGGGAGGGAATGACAGTGAGTCAATGGTTAGCTAGCACCGTCCTATCGTAGAGGCTTATATATGCGCAGTGGATGGTCACCGAACATCACGAGTTCATTGCTCACTACTACCATTATACTGCTGGTACGTTTCTATCTATTTAAATGTGCAAACCGCTAACCAAAGCCCCGCAGAGATCCTTCTCTCACTCCAGCGCACTACGTCTGCCTTGAACCGTACTCTCCCACCGCCTGCACGCATCATCTTTCCGCACAGTACTCATAGCGAATTCCGCGATGGGCCCGGGATGAACGTGTATGTGAACCTTGCAGCTTTCCCCAACACGCAGATACTCTTCTCCGACACCTGGGCTGATCTGCGCGCCACGAAGTGGGCTTTCAAGCTCGAGCGGGTGGTGTTGTTCGACCGAGCTGGAGCCATGGGAGGACCCGCACATGGAAAATCCTGGAAGCCGATCAGCGAAGCGATGTCCTTATCCGCCGATAAAGCAGACTGGTGGGCCGACGTACGAGAGCGTGTGGTCCGCTTTGCAGGCGGAGATGCGCCCCGTCCAGGAAGTGCGTCAAGTCGCGAGACGGTGGTTACCTACGTCTCGCGTCAACGCGGCAATAGGAGGGCGTTGAGGAGTGCAGATCATGCCACGTTGATCCAAGCACTACAGCGGGCAAGCGAGGAGCTCGGGTTCGAACTGAATATCGTCCAATTGGAAGGGATGTCAAAAGCAGAGCAGATTCAGCTGGCAGCACGCACAACGGTATGTCATTTATACCCTAGCTTGGACTTGCTAGTTAATCGGCCGGACAGGTTCTAATAGGAGTGCATGGCAATGGCCTCACGTCCCTTGTCTGGATGCGTCCCTCAAAATACAGCGCTGTGTTCGAGTTCTTCATGCCTGGCGGGTGGTTCCGCGACTACGAGATAACAGCGCGCAGTCTGAACATCATGTACCGAGGTTTCTGGAACGACACCTCATTCTCCTACCCTGGATTTCAGGGGAGGGACGTGGAGGGCTTTCATAGCGCAGAGATTCCAGTGTTGTAAGCTTTCGGTTGTCTGCTGATGATGATAATGACTCACTTTAGACACTAGTGCGCCGCACGTTATCGACCAGCTGAGGGAGGCATTGCAGTATGGTCTGGCGGATCATGTATTGGAGAAATGAGAGGTTTATCCCTTGCGCTCTGAACTTTTTATGTGAATGTAGTAGACTTTCTTTCCGTACAACAACAATGGTCCCTGTCTCGCGGTTCTCACTTCGTTTCTATGGATATTTGTTTTGTTTTTGTACACCATATTACCCGCCCAATTGCGATCCCGTGCGACGTGGTGCAAGCCTGTAGGATTGAACCTGTTGCTCGGCACGAAGTGAAAAGCCCGGGGGAATCTCACCTTGTGGTTTGTCGTACATTGCCCTTCAGGCGTGCTGCAACCTCTGGAATTCAATTGACCCCTGTCTGATCGCCCGGATTTCCGCGCCCAAAGCCAGTCTTCGCCTGCTCTCGAGCCACGTCATAGCCTCTGGAAAACGCTCGTTATAAGAGGGAAAATACGGCAAATCAAGCGTTGCACTTGCCTTCGTACGTCCGGGGAACAACGCCCTTCGTGCCCAGACCATTCGCATCCCAGGTGAACCAGAATTCATTCGTCGTCTTCTCCTCACCGGTGTTAACATCTAACACATTGGCTCTTACGCCGATATGCTGGACATGCGGTTAGCACATGTTTGGACCGCAGAGAGTAATGCGGCACACCACAACCCTACTGTCCGAGTAACCTATGCCCGATTTCAACTTCAGTATCGCCCCGACTGGGACAGGCAACTTGAATGCAATACTGTCCAAGCATAGGAACCCGAGTGTGCGCTTCTGTGTGTGTTGCGAGGCAGTCGCGAAAGCGAGCTCGTACGCCAACTTCATGAGGTACCCGCCGAATACCTTGCCGTGCACGCTTCCAGGAGTCAGCTCATTGTGCCAGACATGCATGACTGACAGATAACTCACTTGCGATCCTGAGGAAACATAACTTGACAACTTTCTAGCGCTGTATCTTCCATCCAAACCCACTCGATATCGTTTCCATACTCGTCCTTTCCTCCGGAAGGCAGATGTGTTCGCTGGGTTCGTGCAGGGACGAACGTAGAACTAAGAAATTCTTCACCGCCTTGTGGGTGGCGCGACAGGAACATGTCGTGCACCACCTGGGCTTCGGCTTGTGAGGGCGGTACGCGCGAAAGCGACAAAGCTTGGGTGGTCTTGCGCAGCTCGGCATGCGCTGGTTCAGTGTCAGAAAGAGTGGTGCTGTTCACGGAGGCGCGTACATTTTCCAAGCGCATTCAACGCCCATTCCTCCGGTGTCCCAAGCACAAGTTGGTTCACCTCCCTTGCTTTATGAGTGAACGCGTCCCTGCACACCATCGTGAAGCGACCTATTCAGTGGCATCAAGATCTTGCCGTTCATACTCAAACATTGCTGTTCAGACTCACCGACCATGATCGGCATCTCCCTCTCATGACTTGACCGTGGCAGTCCCACCATCTGTACGGTGACCTCGATGCTACTCTTTCCCGTGTAAATGACGTTTCCGGACAACCTCAAATCGTGAATGTCTCCCTGCTGGATGTAATGCAGAAGATCCATCCGCTCCACGGCGGCAGTGACCAAGTAGAAATCAGTAGAGGACATCGTGATATCCTCCGTCGATGGACCAAGAATGTGCTTGTATGCTGCGCTGCCAGCGAGGGAATCTAGGTGTTCCATCAGCTTGCCGTTCCGGATACCCCCAGCTACATTGGTGCTGTAACTCCTATCAGGTCCTTGGTAACTCGGATTTCGTATACCAGGTGCTTACTATTGTTCCAGAAGGCTCGCCTGGCTCAAGAAGGGCAGCACAAGCTCCACATAGCTGTCGTGCATCCGCCGGGGAGGTAACTCAGTCTTGGGTTTCGGTGACTCGACCGTTTTGTCCCCTTCTGTTTGACCCGTCTGTGGTGGACGTCTTGGCAAGAGAGTCTCTAGCCATGGTTGGGGAGATCGCATAGGAAATGCCCTGGGTCCATATCAGGGCGACATAGATGGGTTTCAGTGGGCGCGTACGTGCGATGAGCGGGGTCAGAGCGATTTCCTAGGAGATCTAGTTATCTCACGAGTCACAGCCATGTTACACTCACTTACGGACTAATGTCAAAAGTTGCACCATGGACAACACTTGAGATGCTTCCCGCTGTGTCTGGGCCTTCTCCGCCTGCAGCTCGCTCGTCGCATTAGGTGAGGGCGATTCATCCAACCGGGTTGGCGACAACGACAGCCCACGGCGTCCAACCGACGTCAAGCTAACTAATCGCGGGTGGTGCCAGCGTATGATAGAGTGAAGGCCTCTCATGGTCCCTGGTGACCTTCAGCAGAGAAGTAGGAGATGGAATAGGGAGCTCCGATTGGCATCGACCCACAACCTCGAATGAAATATTGCTTGACCCTGTAGATGGCCCGTGACCTCAGATCACGTTTCTTTTCCCATTCGATTTACGCCCAACGACCACAAGGCCTTCAGATGTAACAACAAAGGCGTGGTGCGGTGAATATGGGAACCCCAAGCCCGCTCTCCACCGCTCTGTGCAGCGTGTTCTTCATACGCTGGCAGTGCACAGTATATGGTACTTCGGTACTTCAAAAACCTGACAACAAAACAGTGATGTAAATCCGAACTCGCACTAGTTGAACTTCGGCACGTCGTCACTATGGGATTTGAGCAGCAAGTCAGACCACCAATTTGAGGGCGCCGATCGATGGATTGTGACACTTGCATTTGCCCAAGTTCAATAGAACCGGAAATTCGGTCCCTCCTAAGCGGGTGCCTCTACCATTCCCAGGACACGTTGTCTGGTCATTCACAAACCATTCCCGAGGTCTACAAGGACCCGATTCACTTGAGCTCTCTTCTCTTGATCGGAAGGACTCGGAAGTCCTAGTGCAGTTCTGGTCCATATCATGATATGGTGGAGTCTGATCTTTCGACCAGGCAATCGTCCCGCGGTTCACCCAACGCTGTTTATCATACAGGAAGATGTTTTTATGGCAGTCTGAGGGCTAAACTCGATGTCAAGTAGCGCACCGCAGTGCTAACATTAACGGAATGTAACAATTCGGTCCGGATTTGCGGTACGCGAGAAAAAATGCCTGCGTACATACACGCACTTACCGGAATGCAAAACGCCGGGTTCAGGAAGTTGTTTTCCCGAAGATCATGACTATCACTCTAACCGATCCTTCCTGATCCGGTAAGTTTGTTGATGACCATTCCGCATAATTTCCTTTTCAAGGTAAGAGGCGGTGCATCATTGTTATCAATGGACATCACATTCCCGAGAGGACCCTCAGTTTGCCTCGTGTTCTCCACTGACAGCGCGTTTAAAGCAGACGGCCAACCATGACATATTGTCTTCTGTGGCCTCTTACATCTATTCTGCTCCAGTGGACCTCCTTGACTGGACTCGCTGTGGAATACTTGCATAATTCTCTCACTCTCTTTGGATTATGACGATTCCGACGACTCTGTTACAAAGGGTTGACTTAGTTGGTCCAGAATCCTGTGCTGGAGGTTTCCCGGCGTCTAATTCCACCACTGTCTCTGTATCGCGTTTCATTAGTCCAAGGATCGAAGGGACGGACGATCAAAGCGTCTCTTCAAACTTGATTGAGCCCGGACGATGCACCGCAGGCGGATCTGAGCTCCAGGACCAAGGGACGACGAGCAGCCATTTCCAACTTCCGTCTGTTATTACAATCTCGTCATCGAATTTGGACATCCACAGTGATGGTTCTGACGAGACGGCAGTGGACGACAAAACGTGTATACGACCAACACCCCCTCGTAGTCGTCCTCGAACCCCGATCGTAATTCCTGACGGCCCTAGTAGAACATCCAATGTACCTGTCAAGCAAGGCTCTGTACTGGGAGAAATACAGACAGAGTCGCCAGTGGAAGATATTGGCAACGAACAGGTGGATGCACCAGGGAGAACCAACGATTTACATACGAGTGATGGGAGCTATCCTCCCTCATACCACGGTCTCGATGCACAGTACGCATAAGAAGCGCTTCAAATGCTTCGTGCTTATGGATAATGCTAGGGCGGATATGATGTTGCGAGAGTGCTTCCAACTAGTCCCAGAGCAGCCCACCAAGATGCTAACCCGCGCGTACGGGAAACCTGCGGGGTGAGTTTTCATCCAATTACTCTCTGACATAACTCATTTCAGGGGCAGTCAATATTTTTGGGCAACTAACCAGGTAGCGCAACTTGCTGTGCCGTCTTCTTATGGTCGACCACCCCCACACCGAGCGATGTCTGGGATCTTTCGATCAGAGGATGCCATCGAGTGCGTTATCACTCCACTCACCAACCCGGTCTGACATCGGTACTCTATGTAGATACATGCTCGGCAGTGTTGAACCTAAGAGACTACTAGACTGGAATTGGGAAGAGAAAGAAACGCCGGATGGATATCCTTACTTCCGCCACAAATTCCTGCCGTTTGTGACAGACGATTTTTTACGGACACAAGGTGTCTTGGAGTTGATTGACAAGTGGACGAAGTTTCTCCATGCGATAATAATGATTCAGCAGAAGAATACAACTTCCGGCTACACGTGGCCCGATAGTTGGGAGCTGTACTTGCGGGTGGACATAGGACCTCACCCTCTTGGGTTGTCATACTACGGGGAGATCTGCCGATACTATCTTATCGATCGGGTCAAGCGCGAAGTCTTCTGGCTGCATTACTTCCCGGATTACTGTGGGGTGATACCCGAATTGACCGTTCACGCGTCATCGAAGCTCATCCGTACGGTCTTCCTTCCGTGCGAGATTACTCTGATCGGCGCTTGCAGGATTGCATCTGCAGCGCGAGTTCTGGGCGCATATGGAGCTATTCTCTAACGCGAAGCCAATAAAAGGTGCTGAAAAGGAACTGCGGGACATGCTGTTGTGGTATACTTTCGGTAGCGTCTCCTTGTCCCTAGGAAAGTTCGCAGCTAATAATATTTCAGATCAAATCACCTCACCGGCAGGCAGCACCTGCCCGTTTGAACAGGGACAGCCAGAGAAATTTCTGAGCGTCCTCGATCAGTTTAAAGGTTAGTACGCACGCCGGTGGCCAATGAATTCCCCCTCATTTAAGGTCGACACAGGATCCGAAGAAGACTCTGTGGTTAAGAACATAGCCATTGCTCGTCTCATAGGAACATGTTGTCAGTACAACTTCTTTCCATCTTGTCGTACCTTATCCTGGTACAGATACCAGTCGTATTGCCAATCGTTTCGGCGATGTCGGATCCCGAGTGGACCGGGGCCAGCCCTCTCTCTACTCTGATGATGGTTGGTCCAGCATGGCAAAGTACGTGGTGTACTGCGTGATGCATGTCCTTGTCATGGGCGGAGACCGATGGTACCTGGATAAGATTCTCAATCTCACGGTGGATTATTACGTTCCGCCTCAGGCATGGAAGGACCTAGTCAGGATGCTAGTGGAAACAAGCAACCAAAGCACCCTCATCGTGGCGGCTTTGCTCTTCACGTGAGTGCGATTGAGGAGGGCGGGTGTGACATTATGGTTGACGGGTGTAAAGGGGTAATATCGGATTCCTGGGTATCAACGGGCTCGGAGGCGATCAGGTAATCATCAGCATAGTCGCAACTCTTCTTTCGTTGGGAAGTCTGTTTTTGGGTATGCAGCAGGCACTGCACCATTATGATTTGAAGGACACTACTGCAGATATCGGTGTCAGCCCCTTTCGTGTTCCTCCTTCCAGGTAGAATCTCACACTCTCCTTAGTCGCAGTACTGTGGGACGGCTTCGCAGTCCTGGCTCGGGTACCGCGGACTAGCAGTATACTACTCCCTGCCTTCTGCGCTCCTCATCTGGTCTGCTATAGCGACTATCATTGCCCTTCTCGTCTGGTGCTTCCAACTTGTGGAGATGGACTGGTTCTCGCGCACTTGCACTATCCTTATCCTCCTTTCGCTCTCCATTGTCGGTATTTCAGCAATGAAGTTCTCCAGAAGACTGTACAGGTTCCGGGAGAAGAAGCAAGAACGGGCGTGTATCCTCCGAAAGAGCATGAGGATTGTTCGTCTTCCAGGGGAATTCATCCTGGCACGGGTTCCGGACAGGATTTGGAAGCCCTGGGGAGGAAAGCGACCAGCTGATCAGAGCGCGGACCAATTAAAGAATCAGGAAGAGGGTACCGCCTGTCAACAGCCAGAAGAAGCGCGGACAACGAAGAGCTGTCCGCTCAGAAGGTTCACAGACATGTACAAGGCGTCAGCGCATTGGGTACGCCGCTCGATCACCTGGAGGAAGAAACGACCCGAGCCAGATGAAGAGAAGCAGGCAGAAATCGGCGCGGGAACGAGAGAAGCTGAAGAAGGCCCAATGTGCCTGTAGCCCCGTTGGGGGGTATCAAAGCTATTGTACACCTCTCTCTTGGTCATCGCACAGCATAATATGCTACAAGGTAAATTGAAAGTTGAACAATCTCAGGGAAAGTCTCTATTGTTGGTATCAATAGTGGTGGAGTGTAGCAACATGGAGAGTATGTATGAACACACGATGAAGCAGTAGCAAAGTAGAAATCGAATCACCAACTGCAATATATTCATGAAACTCGGAAGGGACAGACATTATCCAGTGGGATCCGTAAACCGGGTTTACGGTCTCGTGCGAAACATGGTTTTTCTTTGCTCGTCACCACTGAGTTGAACGTGAGGAGAATTGTATTAGGGTTATTTCATCAGGGTTAAGGAAACCCTGTAAGTAATCTTGATCGATGGATAAACAGCGTTTCATCGGGCGAACTCGGAGCAATTCATTCTCTCTCTCCTGCCACTTAAAGCTCTGTTTTTCACAAGCTTTCCTCCCTATCATCAACGTGTTACATCATCGCCGGTCCCATCGCCCAAATGGGCACAACAAACAATCCGGTGCACATCCTCTCTCATCACCTCATCACATTCATTCCTTGACAGCAACTCCTATTGCATTTCCCCGTTGTTCACCTCCATCCTATTCACTGTCTACCCTCACCCCGCATTCCCACACCCTCTCACGAGCACGCGATTATCCGACGCCCTCCGCCAGCAGCCTCAACAGCACTCCTGCTGCCCTCCAAGGAGATAAGTACCCCCTTCTCTCTAACAAGGGGATGCACCAAGCCCAGCTGCACGCATTCTCGGGGTTGTACACCCAGTGGCTGCAACGACAGCTTCAAGCACACGTGGGATCTTTGTCTCTCCCCGATCAAGTCGCTCTCCGCCTTCCTCAGCCAGGTATGCTCCCTCTCTCTTCCCCCGGGGTGAGCACCCTCCCTCCCCCAGAAGAACTAGACGACGAAGAGGAGAAGCTCGAGCTCCCCCCCGAGTTCTACTCTTCGAAACCGGATATCGTCCTTGTCTCTCTCGAAGGCGTCGAGTTCCCTACCCAGAAGCTCTTCCTCAGCGTCGGCAGCGCGTTCTTCAGGCGTATGTTTGAGGATGCCTCTTCTGATGCCTCTACCAGCACCAGCGCCTCTCCTGATCCCTACACGAACGAACTTGAACGCGTCCCCTGGCCAGAGAAGGCATCCACGATCGTCCACCTGCTCCAGCTCCTCTATCCACTCCCCAAACCCCGTTTCCCCTCTCTTGGAGTAACACTTCAGCTCCTCCTCTCCGCGGACAAATGGGAGCTCGCACTACCCCTCCAGCGTCTGAAGGACTCTCTCCTCACCAAATGGGCGAAGGAACGTCCATTGCGCGTATACGGCTTCCTCTGCTCTTCGGGATTAGGCACGCAGGAGGAGATCCGTGCTGTGGCTGAAGAATGTCTAGCGCGCTGTGACCCCAGGGAAGGGAGATGGAAACGCGATCTGGAGGGCATGTCCGCGCTCGCCCTCTCCTCACTACTCGATGCTCGGGACGCGCGCGCCGCCCAAGCGCAGAAAGTCGTGCAACGCGAGGTGCCGAGTCACTGTCCGCATGGGTTTCCTCTGGCGACTGCTGCGCTGGTGGGGCAGTGGAAGGCTGCTCTTGGGGAGAGGCTTGCAAGGTGGCCGACGGGGAGGGTGATGGATGGCTGGGAGAGCATCGCGGAGGTCCTTTGGCCTGAGGGGGTGGCTGCGAGTTGTAGGTGAGCACGTCGCGGAGAATATATGCATATATGCACTATATCTGACTGGTTTCTAGACTGTGCATTCCAACGGAAGCGAGGAGAGCGTGTATTGAGAAAGTCGCTAAAGCGCAATGGGATATCGATGCGCTGCCTATTACGCTCTAGCTTTTGCCAGAAGCTAGAGGCTGGAGCTGGGATCTGTAGAAAACCCCTGTCGTATTATCGCTCATCTGTATCTAGACCTGAATGCACCCAGCCAATGTATCCAACCTGCATATAACCGATACATATCATCCGATCGTACAATCATTCGAATATACATTCGTCGCGCTTTTGCGCGGTTAGAAGAACTAGCAAGCGATAGATCCAAAGTTCCGATCACGCAGCTCTGTGCACCTTGCACACCCTCAGGGGCAGCTGGATCCCCTTCTCCTTCTGCTCTTTCACGAATGGGCGTATCACGATTCTATCATCCGTCAATACCGCGCCTTGGGAAGCAAGAAATAAAGTGGCCGTACACGTCTTTCATCCCGATCTCCTGCCCTTCTATAGGTGCAAATTCGAAAGCTCTAATTAACGTAAACAGGATCGCTTTCATCCTGTGCTCGTCAGCACTGTCCAACACCAAGGCAGATAATTAGGAATAACGCACTCCATGACAGAAAACCGGTAACCAATACACGCTCTCGCCCCTCCAAGGAAGGCCATCGTATGCGCCCACACACCCGGGATCTCCTTAACCTTTTCCAGCCCTTCCTCCCACCTCTCAGGCCTGAACTCATGTGCGTCCTCGCCCCAGAACTCCTTGGCATGGTTCACGACCACGCTCTCGACGCCCACGACGTCCCCAGCTTGCACCTGCACGTAGTCGTGTCTCCTCCCTTGGCGGTCTACTAGCGGGGTACTCAAGGGGATCTGGTCCGCCCGAGTCGCTACCCGCACGGTACTCCGCACGGGGCACCAGAGGCGCAACGATTCCTTGAGCACTGCGTCCAGGTAGGGAAGAGCGCTTAGTTCCTCCATGCAGGGCGCTTCCTCCGACGCTTGCTGCAATTCAAGGCGGAGCTTGTCCTGCACCCGAGGGGAGAGGGAGAGGGAGTACAGTGTCCACGCCAGGCCGGAAGCGGTGGTCTCGTGCCCCTGTGTGAGGGTTAAGCATGGGAGAGAGGAGAGAGGGAGGGAGGTGGAGCACGTACCGCTACGATGAACGTTGAGATCTGGGCGAGGACCTCGTCGTCGCTCATCCGCTGGTGTAGTGCCAATTCTGGGGACATGTTCGCCCGGACTGTCAATAGGCGCGTCAGCATGCTCTTGGAATTCGAGAAAGAATGAACACGTACTGAGAGCACTCAGAAGATCCCGCCTTCCGACGTTGCTTTTCTCAAGCTTGCCTTGCATCTCCTGCTGCACGGCCGCTTTCTCCTTCCTAATGAGTGCCATCCCGATCCTGCGTGTCGTCGCTCTCGCCTCCGTCATCTTCCTGTTATATTCCAGCGGCTACGTTCAACCGATCAGGCCAGAACGTGGAATACATGAATCAGAACGAACAAGATGACGCAGAAGCTGGAACCGGCCCATGAGTATCCCAAGCAGCGGGCTCTTCCCCGCCGCTTCGATCATGTCGTGCACTGCACAGAACAGCTCGTTCGATTCGTCGTGCAGCGCGTTGAACCTGTACCCGAAGCCTACCGGTCGTCATAAGCAGTGCTCATCACCAGTAGGGGACACCTCACCAGCTTGACCAATGACATCGAGCGCCGCCCGAGTCACCCAACTGAACATGTCGATCTCGGTTCCCTCGCTTTCGGATACCTTCGCGAGTATGCTGTTCAGGCTGTCTCGTAGCTTGCATTCTTATCAGAGAAATGTACCTGAGCATCAGAAGCACGCACCTGGTGGGCGGTGTCAAAGAAGATTGGCATAATTTCCTTAATATGTCCGAGGGAGAACGAGGGATTCTAGGATCAATTGTTCAGGCGCGCCGCCGGCAGATGAAGTGCCGCAGGAGAACGAACCATTATTCGCCGCTGGCGCTTGTGTTCCTCTCCTTCAGCAAGGAGCAGGCCTCGCCCTCCGACCATGGAGGCAAGAATATTCTGCAGGTACTCCGGCTTGGGATATATGTCCGTGTGGTTGAGAATGTGTGACAGCGCACGCGGGTCGACAGTGTAGACCTTGTAGTTCTGCGTCGCGGAAAGTCAGCTACGATGGAACTGGCGCCGACAACAAACGCACACCGAGTACGACTCGAGCTCCGAACGTACTTCCATACTCCTCCGACCACTTCATAAGCACTGTATCGTCTTTGCGGACCTCTCTCATGATTCCCCAAAGCCAGTGGGTCGGTTCGGGACCTCGTAGGTGACGAAGAGGATTGAAGAGACGAAGAACAAGTAAATATACCTGGTAGATGCCCGCAAGCATAAAAAGCAAAAGCAATAAAAGAGCCGCATCTTGCAAGTGCTGAATCAAGCGTTGGTGCGGCATCCTGCTGTACTGGTACTCTGAGAATAAAATAGGTGGGCTGTAGCCGCAAAGGGTGGGGGTGAGCGTAAATCGCCGCATGCCAGCCAGTTGCAACGCCTTTTAAGGACAAGCAAGCGTCCGTGGGTACCTCCGTCTGCGCAATTATCCAATAGAGGCTCGCTACGCATCAGAGGCTTGGTTCTCCAGGGAGAAGACAAGTTGCATTGTGACGTGTGTGCCAGTCGACAGTGATCCCAGCAAACACAGCATCATCGAGATAGATCATTCTCCAGGTTGAGGCTTGCCGGTATCCTGTGAAGTGTTGAATTAGCTCATCCCCGAAATCGGAGCAATCGGGTCCACCAAAATCGGCACATGATTCCTGACTTCACAAGCAGACAGCGGAACAACAATGAACGTGTCAAGGGTCTCGGACAAAGGCGGTCGTACCTACAGGCACAGGTGCCTTCGTCAAATGATCCGCTGAACAAGCAACTCATAGGGCATCGCACCTTCATTTCCTGCACGCCAGCTTGATCTGCTGTCAGAGATCACCAGAGTCGTCCCGTCTCATAACGCCCATACTTGTCTCAAGAGGCAAGTATCAGAGGCTGGAGGAGGCAGACAGTTCACACGGTGGGCCGCGGCCGATCACTCCTCCTTTCCCGCTACAGCATTTCATCCGCCGGGCGGCTCCGATACGAAGTTACGGCGTAGCGTCAGAAACCGCTTTTGTCCCTGCTGCTCCCAACGGGCGGCTGGTATCTCAGCGACAACACGCACGCCCTTCCGCTGATAGTCTCATTGGAATGTCGGTGTATCATCCGGTTGTATCGGTGGCGTCACGAATCCACCGAAATAGCCGCATAGCCGGGTCCATTCTTCCGCTGTTATCTGAGCAGATGCCTGATTCTGTGTTTATCATTGTACCACCGAACACCGGGCCGAAGTTGCGTGGGGGCTGGGAGATGCTCACATATTTCGGTCGTTCATTATACCCAGGATTTACTCACGCACCGCCCTTTTACTCCAGTACCAGGCAAGCCTTCACTATCCGAGAGATCGGAACTGCGCCAGCTACCAGACTTGGAAAGACTCGTTTGTACAAACGTTTCGAACGTCCTCCTGGTCAGGTGGACTTAAAACCAAAGTTGGATCAGAAATTCCTTTCAGGATCAAATCGGCTTGCGCCTTCACTCGTGGCAATATATTATGCATCAAGCAGCCCTCGACACGCGCTTCACGAGTAAGGGAAGTTGCAGCCTCGTGCCCTCGCCTTTGACGTATGGGCGCGCAACGATCCTGACAATGCGGTCAGGAACATTTCCCATAGAGCCGATGATCTTGTACTAGTACGTACACGTTTTTGACTGCGATCTCCTTACCTGGAACGGGGACGAACTCGAACTCGCGGATCAGGGCGAACAGAATCGCTTTCATCCTGGTCCCTTGCGGTCAGGGCGGTCAAACTGAAACACCGCAAAAGAACGTACTCGGTGATAGCAAACCTGTACCCAATGCAGGCCCTTGGTCCGCCGATGAACGTGAGTGTATGGGCATAGACGCCAGATATCTCCTTTGCCCCGGTTGTTTCTTCATTCCATCTATCTGGTCTGAAATCTCCGGCGTCTGGGCCCCACAGCGCTGTGCTCCTATTCATCGGCATGATCTCCACACCCACGAAGTCGCCCGCCTGGACTCGGAGGTGATCCAGCTTTCTTCCATAGCGGTCGACGATTGGATGGAGCAAGGGAATGGTATCGTCTTGCTTGGCGACGCGCAGGGAGTAATGGACCGGCGAATGCAGTCGCAGAGATTCCTTCACAACAATGTCAAGATAAGGAAGCGCGTTCAGATCATCCATTGTTGGCATATCCTGGGATACCAAAGAGAGTTCTTCTCTGAGCTTGCCCTGGACTTCAGGATACTGCGCGAGCGACATAAGTGTCCATGTCACGGCAGATGCACTCGTTTCATGTCCCTATTGAAGATCGGTACAGATATATGCGGAAGGTGAAGATGAACGGACTGCAATAATGAAGGTCGAGATCTGTGCCAGGACTTCCCGGTCGCTCATCTGCTGATTTTCAGAAACACCAGCTGCCATGTTTGCTCGAACTGTGCAAATCTCAGTGCTGGGTGTGAATTCACCGAACACATTACGTACTCAGCGCAGTAAGAACATCCCTTCCGGCGATCTTGCCGTTCTGGCCGAATTTGCTTTGCATCTCCTCAAATACTTCAGCTTTGCGCTTCATTACTAATTCAGTCCCCACGCGATGTGTCGTATTGAGGGCAGCATCCATAACCGGATTACGGAAACCGGGCTAATTCAATACAGAGTCAGTCATAGTTCTCCAAGAGTACACAAATATCACGAACTATACGGCGGAGGAACTTGAAACGGTCCTTCAGCAAGTCGGTAAGCGGATTCCTACCCAACTCCTGTTCCATGTCATGATATGCATGGAACAACTCGTTCGATTCGTCAACCAGACAGTTGAACCGATACCCGAACCCTACTCTCAGTTCAACCTCATGATAGATAGATCTCCACGGAAGGACAAACCTGCTAGACCAATGATCTCCAGTGACGCACGCCCAATCCAGGCGAACATGTCAAGTTCTACTCCCTGCGTACTAACCGCCATTCCCTGAAGCTCATTGAGGACATCTCTTAGCTACAATACATGAGAGTCCGTTCGATCCTGTAATTAGAAGTTGGCGCTTACTTGGTATGATATCTCGAAGAAAATAGGCGTTGCCTCTCGAATTTGAATTGGGGCAAAAGAGGGATTCTGGATGTCATCAGCGCCGAAATTTCCCAATATAGAATCATAGCATCGTACCATTATCTTCCTCTGTCGCTTGTGCGTGTCTCCCTCAGCTACGACTAACCCTTCACCTATAGCCGCTCGAAGCAATGTCCTCGCGTGCTCCGCTTTTGGGTAGATGTCGGTATGCGATAGGATATGTCCGACTGCGCGAGGGTCGATTGTGTTCAAGCGACACTTCTGCGGTTTTGGTGTTAGCTTATGCATGCAGAGATAGGGAGCACAACGTACTCCAAGCATGCTGGGAAGTCGATATGCCACACCAAATTGCTCCGTCCATTCACACAAGCAGGCGTCATCTTGGAGTACCGCCGCTGCATTCCCCCATAACCAAGAGCGCCGCGATGGACCTGGTAGATGCCGTATAGGGGTGAAGAAGCGGCGAGAGAACTGCCATAGTCCTCGGAGCGTGTAGCCGGCGGCAATGACAGCGAGGACGATTAGGCCGAGAGTCGGGATCCGGCTGAGGTCGAAATATGAAAACATGATCCAGTCAATAAACGTGAATCGCTGGATATTCGACCATCATCAAGCTTCTTATAGATTTCGGAGACTGCGTCGTCCCCGGGTATACCATTGAGACAAGGGAAGGTATAAATCTGATACTTGTCGCTCTTCTCTGATGGGATCATCCTTGAGGCCACCCATGATCCCCTGCCGTCTAGTAATAGCCGAGCATAATGAATCCAAAAGATCAAGAAGCATTAATCCATCAATAAAGGGGGATAATGGTCAGCATAGATGGTAACAATGCCAGATGTTTCTCAGGAGAACACAAGGACTCATTAGAGCCAAAACAGCCTCAAAGGGGGTTTGCCACGTGAATATGGCACAGCCCTTCCTCACCGCGTGGAGTTCGCGTGTTCAACACCTAGTACTAGTACCGCCGATGTACTCAGTCCGCGGAATGACAATTGTGCTTCTACTACCGTGCTGGCGCAACACAGCAAGAACTGTTCGACAACTAGACTGGGACCCATACTCATGTTGTACAATTCCAAAGATAAACATCCTACGTCCACAATACTCACGTAGATTCAACCGGCTTTTGGAAGTCGCCGAACGATCATGGGGAGCTGGACACCCTTTTCTTCCTCTCCTTTCACAATCGGCCGCACGACAATCCTATTTCTGGTTAGATGGTGGTTTAATAGGAGAGCGAAGAAACCTACACGCTCTTTGTCTGGATTTCTTTTCCTTGTACGGGCAGGAACTCAAACTCCCGAAGCAACACGAACAGGAGAGCTTTCGTCCTTGATATCGTTCAGCGCAAAGAAGACTGAAAGAAGAGATCGACATACTCGATCACAGAAAACCTGTACCCGATACATGCCCTTGGTCCGCCGATGAAGGTGAGGGTATGGGCATATATCCCTGGAATCTCGCTCGCTCCTTGCAGATCCTTTTCCCATCTCTCTGGCTTAAACTCCTTAGCATCGTCGCCCCACAGCTCCTTAGACCTATTCATGGCCATGATCTCCACTCCAACGAAGTCGCCCGCCTGGACGCGAACCCTGTGGAGAGGTTGTCCATACCGATCGATGACAGGCTTCGAGAGCGGAATTGTATCATCGTGGAGGGCAGTGCGCACTGTCCAGTGGATAGGAGAGTGGATACGCAGGGACTCTTTGACAACTTGATCGAGATAAGGAAGAGCGTTAAGGTCATCCATCAAGGGTGTCTCGTCGGATACTTGTTGAAGCTCCGCACGCAGTCTGTTCTGCACATCTAAGTGCTGCGAAAGGGAGAAGATCGTCCATGTGATTCCAGCGGCAGATGTCTCGTGTCCCTACAACCAGCATCAGTACGAAGCTAGGATCGAACGACGAAGGGCACACCGCTGCGAGGAAGGTAGTGATCTGCGCCAGTACTTCCTCATCACTCATCTGGTGTGCCGGCGTGAGATCTGCCGCCAAGTTTGCGCGAACTATGCTTCCGTCAGCTCAGATTTTTCTCCAAGAGTTGCAAGTGACCCACTCAGTGCACTAAGCAAATCCCTCCCAATAATTTTCTTCTCCCCGCTCTTGCTCTCCAGCTCCTGCATCACGGCTGCCTTCTTCTCCTCAATCAGCTGCATCCCGATCCGCTTCACCGTGTCTCGCGATGTTAGCATGGTTTTGTTTGCTTTCGTTGGCTGTGCGAGACCATCAAGCCAAAGCATAGGAGGGACAGGGTAGCAAGACGTACAATCATCCCGAACCACTTGAACCGATTCCTCAGCAATCCCTGCACCGGCGCCGCTCCCAGCGATTCCACCAACGAGTGAAATGCGCTAAATAACTCGTTGCTGTCGTCTTCAAGGGCATTGAAACGATAGTCGAATCCTTTCAAAGTGTTTATTTTGATATCAGTGGAAAAGGGTGTAAGAGGAAGCACCCACCAGCAATACCAATTATGTCAAGAGAGGCGCGACCAATCCAGCTGTATATGTCGATCTGCTGGTCACTCACATCGTCGACCGCACGGTTCAGAGCATCTCGCAACTAGAACGTAACTTGAGATACTGTTCCGCAGAACGTCACCGGAATATCACCTCGTAAGATACATCGTAGAAGATAGGAGTGACTTCTCTGATCTGTCCCGGCGAGAAAGACGGATTCTGCTCGCGCCCCAACATCAATCATCGCCTCTCGGAAAAAACCAGTATTAACTCACCATGATTCTCCTCTGACGTTTATGTGTCTCTCCCTCTGCTACCACCAAGCCCTCACCAATGGCAGAGCGGAGCATTGCCTTAGTAGGCTCTGGCTTCGGATAGATTTCCGTATGGGACAGGATGTGAGCGACGGCTCGTGGGTCAATCGTATTCAACCTCCAGTTCTGTGCAGACCTCATGATCGATTTCCGACAGAAGGGAAATGTACGTACGCCGAAAATGACCCTCGTGGCATACGTCGCCCCATACTCCTGCAACCACTGCTCCTCAACAGAATCATCCTCTACCAGCCGTTTGGTATTACCAAATATGAGAGAATGTGCGGGAGGACCACGGAGACGTCGCAGTGGTGTCCGGAAACGCTGGAGAAACCCGAAGATGCTATAGAGCACGTAGAGGCCAATAACAACGCCCACGACGAGTGGTCCGTTCTTGACGAGCACAGATGGGTCATGTAACAGAATGTCCATGGTTAACTGGGGGAAGGAACAAGTGGTCAAGCGCTCTTCAATAATTGTGAGGGGTGTTATGGTCACATAGTGCAAGTTCTTGCTGGAAGATTGTCATCATTGTCAGGGTTTGGCCACACTGTCGCTGACGAAAGGTTGCGGTTGCAGGAAGCCATCAGGAGTCCCGGTATATTATGTGGAGAAATAGAAGGACCGCGATATTACATGTACAGCCACCGATAGAAGAGTTACCTTTTCAAGAATTTTTGAATTGTGGGTTGTCGCGTTCGGGGCAGTGAGAAGCAACGTGCGCAAACAAAAGGGCAGCGATAATCCCGCGTATAATACAATTATGTCACCACCTATCTGGAAATCCATCCACCAGAAGATCAACCACGGAAACACCATGTTCAAGACCTAGTGACCTTCTTGATGATCATGGGCAAAGCTAGCGACTTCTCTTGACCCTTGACAAACGGACGTGCGACAATCCTGTGCGAAGTGGGTAAGCCGCGTTGCTCGGCGGACAGAGATATGAGTACGTACACGTTCTTTATACCGATTTCTTGACCTGGCACTGGTGCGAACTCGAACGACCGGAGAAGCACGAACAGGAGAGCCTTGGCCCTATACCCAGCAAGGTGAGTCTGATGAGCATACAACACAGCAACACAACCACGCACTCGATGATCGAGAATCGGTATCCGATACACGCTCTCGGCCCGCCGATGAAGCTCATGAGATGCGAGTAAACACCAGGGATGTCATTAGCGCCATTCAGGTCTTCCTCCCACCTCTCGGGGCGGAACTTGTCCGCGTCCTCGCCCCAGAGCGCCTTGCTCTTGTTCATCAGGATGACATCGACGCCGATATAGTCCCCAGCCTGGACCTTGATCGTGTCGTGCGACTTGCCGTACTCGTCTATTACTGGCTGAGCAAGCGGGATCTCGTCGTCTGTGGCGGCGACACGCATCGTCCCATGCACCGGGCTGTGGAAGCGCAGGGACTCTTTGACGACCATGTCCAGATACGGTAGCGCGTTCACCTCGTCCATCGATGGTGCTTCCTCGGAGACCTGCGAGAGCTCAGCACGCAGTTTCTCTTGTATTTCGGGGTTCTGGGCGAGCGAGTACAGTGCCCAAGTGACTCCGGAAGCGGTGGTCTCGTGGCCCTGGGTATACCGTCAGAGCGTTGATCGGAAATCGGAAAACAGAAGAAACGACATACAGCAATGATAAATGTCGAGATCTGCGCAAGGACTTCCTCATCCCTCATCCTGTGCGCGGGGGCCAGGTCTGCAGCCATGTTCGCACGAACTATCACGGCAGTCACGCGTCAGTACACATCTTTCAATACTGTAGATCAGGCACACTCAGTGTACTAAGCAGGTCCCGACCGACGATCTTGCTCTTCTCGACGTCACCCTTGCGCTCCATCTCCTGCATGACCGCGGCTTTCTTTTCCCGTACGAGCTGCATTCCGATCCGGCGAGTCGTAGCTTGGGAAGCACGCATTTTGCGGTCGGCTTTAATGGGCTACACATCGAGTTCGTCAGCACTCTATCGCTCTGGGCAACGCAGCATATAAAAACGGAGCAGTTGATGTACGCACAATCAATCGCATCAGCCTGGACCGGCTTCTCAGCATGGCAAAGATCCGACTCTCTCCCATCGACTAGAACATATCATTAAACGCACGGAAGAGCTCGTTCTTCTCATCATAAAGAGCAGAGAAATGGTATCCAAAACCTATGACGGTTGAATTGTCTGGTCCTCCGTGTAAGGGGCAGTGAAGGAGCTTACCTGCTTGACCGATAATATCCAGCGTCGCTCTTCCAATCCAACTGAATACGTCTACTTCAAGCTCCTCTCCTGGTGCCTTGGATAGCATCCCATTCAGCACCTCCCTCAGCTTCCAGCGGTCAGAACATCTCTTCACTCTAACATGGATTAACACCTACTTGAATAGCAACATCAAAGAAGACCGGGGTGACTTCCCGTATCTGACCAGGGGAAAAGCTCGGGTTCATGATCCTCCTCTGCCGCTTGTGCGTCTCCCCCTCGGCAATTAGGAGCCCTTCACCAATGGAGGCACCGAGCATCGCACGGAGATGCTCGGGCTTGGGGTAGATCTCTGTGCGCGAGAGGATGTGCGCAACTGCGCGTGGGTCGATCGTAGTGAGTCGTAAATTCTGGAATACTTCTCAGCTATTCGGTCACAGAAAGTAGACCGGACAAAAACCAAACACCGCAGGGATGACGAATGTCGGTCCATATGTCTGGCTCCATTTCTCTCCGATCTTGTCATCCTTGATGTACAGGGCAATATTGCCCCAGAGGAACGAGTGACGTGGCGGGCCCTGCAGATGTCGGATGGGAGTACGAAATCGTTTGCTGAATTGATAGAGCCCATGGGCAATGTACGCGAGATAGAGAACTAGCAGCACTCGGGGCCCTTCGCGAGTTAGCCAGGAGGTAATGAGGGCCAGTGTGGATGACATGAATGCGAAGGGGTTAAGTAGAAGTATTGATATGGTGCTTTGCTGTCATTGTTGACTTGGTTATATACTCCCGGAAGACTGTGAACAAGACAAGCCTCCAGCTTGCGCATTATCATGCTGGCGGGGGCCGATGCCCAGGGGCGACTGGAAAAGCGTGGGTACGTAAGAGCACTACTAAGAAGCATAAGGTTAGGGTTCACTGACAATGACATAAGCAGACCCCTTAAGCGTTCCCTTGGCCCGAGGCGCGGTGGACGCGTCGTGGACTCAATTAGTTTCCAGTATGTTTCCCATATCGGGAAGCTTGCCTTTCCCTTTCCCTCGTAGTCAAACTGCGCATTGAACCATTGCTCCATCACCCGCAGTGCCCGCTGTAAAATTCGCAGCAGCACAAAACACGCGTCATGCCGGAGAGCCATGAAGAAGGTTATGATGTTATTCTTGCTTCGCAGCACGGAAGAGACCCCTTCGAGACAATGTCATAGGAGCAGGCCACTCGCTGATGGTATATGGATTTCGATACTGAGTATCTGAGCGTGCTGTGCGTGTCAGAAGACTATCCACGCAACGATGTGCCCATGTCACGGCAGATGCGCTCGTGCTCGTGTTCTTATTGAAGCTTGGTACAGATGCAAGTGCCAGATTTCTCTCGGACCGCGAGGATGAAGGTCGTGATCTGTGCCAGAACATTCCGGGATCAGGCAGGAAGTGATGAAGGACAACGCAAATGACATGACCGAGGGAGTTGGTGATCTGAAGGTTATGCTGCACTGCTGCCATTGTTGGTGGTTGGCTACGAAAAAAGGACAAAGTACTGCCTTGAGCTTGCACAGCCCAAATTAGAAGGCGGAGCCGACTGATACGATATGGGCAAAGCGATTACATCATTGACGGGACTTTTTGCCAGATGCACTGTGCGTATATCAATCAGTCTGCAGATCTTCGTCTTCCCCGAAAGGACAAACTGCGGTGTTCACCTTTGCGCGGATCTCCCACCCCCTATGCAGCGCTGTCCCCGCGCTTATAAATCACAGCTCTCATGGACAACAGAACATACGCGTCCCAACGGAATACAAGCCCCGACCGAACGTGAGCAACATGAAAATGACTAGCAAGTTGAACCATGTCCTAACCCAGGACCCCACCGGAGAACCCACGAACGAACGTGCAGACATCAGGGAGTTGAACATGTCACTCAATCGCTATGAACACGAGTGACTCGATCACAATTTATGGAAGACAGCTCTATACGACAATCTTGGAGTGCTTATGTAGATTATGAAAGCCGGCCAAAGAAAAATGCATGACAAATTGTAGTTAATGCAACTCGATGACTTGTGAGTTATCCTCAAATACCTAGAAAAACTTGGCAGCCGCTCTGCCCTTTCCTGCCTTTTTAGCTCCAGCGAGTCGGTCCCTGGGAAGTATGCTCTGCTCCACGTCACTGTCGTCTTCCTCGTCGTCTTCCTCGTCAGTCTCACTCTCCAGTTCTTTCGGCTTCACGTTGAGCTTGGGCGTCGATGTCGCCCTGCGAGTGTTCGTCGCCGAGTTTTGAGACATGCTTTGACGCAACTTGTCTTTGCTCAGTTGAGATAGACCAATATACTGGCTCGCCAGGCCAAAGACCCCCGTATCCTCCTGCGAGCTGGCAGGCAACGATTGGAATTGAGAAGGAAGTTGTGTGTCTGGACGGAAGAGCGGTTGACTGGCTGCTTTCGGTGTCGGGATGGAAGGATAGGAGACGAGGGACGAATCAGATTTGGGCTTGCTCTGTTGGCTGCCTCTCCGTTGCTGTTCTTGGGAGGGTCGGCGTGACTCCTGATTTACGCTGCCGATAATCGGAGCGGGTGGCGCTAGAACATTAGAGCTGATGACCCGTGGGGCAGTCAAGTCTTCATCATCGGTATCATTTGCATCGTCATCAGCCTTTGTCCGTGAACTGGTTGTACTGTCCTCCATCTGTACGTCCAGTCGGTCCAAGAAATCAAAACGCTCTCCTTGAGTGGCAAGCTCAACCTCCATTTCTTCGTCTCGGGTAACGGTACTATCAGGCCGAGAGATTTCCTCGCCGAGAGCAGCTGAGCTGCTGCGCAACTGGTCCACTAGTGAGGCGGAGGATTCCGTTGCTGGGCTGGGATCTTGGGGCAAGTGAGTCCATGTGGGCAAAGAACTAACAGGTGGCGGAGGGGTACGAGCACCGAGTGAAGGGCTAGTTGGGGCGTGTCTTGGGTCACGGACTTTTGATGCCGGGGCGACAACAGCAGCAGGGCTAGGAACCGGTGGACCGGTGGGGCTCGATGACCCACTGTTCCACCCGGGCGTCTTTGTGAGACTTGGTCGAGGAAGTTGGGATAGAGGGCGCATTAGTTTGCCCTTCGATGTAGAGGTACAAGGGGTCTCAAGTATCCTGGGGACTGAAGGCTGCGAATTCGATAAAGGTTGACTAAAGTTGGTGATATCATCCGGGACAGCTTCGTCACCGATGGACATCGCAGCACGAGCAAGGGCGGTCTGAAATCGGCCGGATGCGCTCGTAGGAGTTCCCGATGCGACAGGATTAAGGCGCAGGAGTTGCGCGGGAAAACCAAGACAATTAATTGGTGAACGGCGGGGTATGGGTGTATGTTGAGTAGGAGTGCTTGTTTGAACGAGACGTTCTAAAAATGGTGAAGGTCGGGGTGTGTCTGTCAGAGTTGTAGTGTTGATGGGAGCCTCATGATTGTTGCCATGTACCTCCACGTGCACTTCTCCTTCGTCAACTTCCCGTTCCTTGGAATGAGGTTCTATCGACGGAATGATCTTTTTCTGCGCAGCTTCGATTCTTTCGGCTCTCGCTCCCTGTTTCCTCTTTGGCCGAACGTGGACAACGGCGTCAATCCGTGATTCATTGCTTTGAGGCTGGTCCGGAGAGCGCACTGAGTTGTTGGCGGGGCTGTTTGGAGGTTGTTCCTGTGAAGCTAGTTCGCGTCACAATCGACAAAACCGCACCCATCCACGCTCATGACGACTCACCATCTTTCTTTTTCTTGTTGGGTTTCTTCAGTTCCTGCTCAGGCACGGTTTGATGTGCTGCATCATCCACAGGGGGTTCAGCTCCAGTGAAATCTGCATTGGACTTTTTCGCGCGTTTCTTTTTGTCCTTTCTTCCCCCAGCAGCACCAGTAATTGCGGGCTCCGCGTGCGCCACAACGCCATCAAGAGCCACTCCATTCACAGGTTCCGTCGATGTAAGGGGAGTTTGATCGCTTTCGCCCTCCTGATTCGGTTGTGCGCCCCCAGTCTTCTCAACCCCTTTAGGCTTCTTCTTCTCGGAAGGCTTCGCGTCTGATCCAGCCGATTTTTCAGCCTTCTTCTTATCTTGTTCAGCTTGCTTGTCCTCCTGCTGTTTCTTCCGCATCGCTTCACGAGCAAGAATCCGAGCTACGGGGTCGAGAGAGGACACGTCTGCCCCGGAGGCTGCCCCCTCTGGTCTGGGGGCCAGGGTTATAGGTGTGGGAGCTGTAGCTTCGGCGGGTTCAGATAGTTTCTTCTTCCTCTTTCGTTTTTCCTTCGGCTGAGGTCCGTCGCCTATGGGGGCTGGTTCCTTCGGAGGTGGCTCTGTGGGGGTGTTTTCGAGGGGGACAGGGAGGTCGTTTTTCCGTTTTCGAGCTTTCAGCTTCTCCTTCGTAGGCGGTTCGACCGGTCTGACTGCGTCTTGTGCCGGAGTATCCGTATCTTGAGGATTGTGCTTCTTCTTCCGTCGCTTCGCTGGAGGTTCCTCTTCTACAGGCTGTATTGCACGCTTCGTAGCCGTTGTAGCGTCGGCTACAGTATTCGCAGCCTTGCGACCAAGCTCTTTCACAGCAGTAGCAGCGGTCTGTCCAGCCTGTACAGCAGTATGTACCAGACTAGTCATAGAGGTTTCAGCTTCTTGAACAAGGCTGTTGTCTTTCGCAGCATTCGCGGTCGACTTCGTCGGACGAGTAATGTTCTTCCCCGAAGGCACAGGTTTCTTCGCAGTGTCTTGAATCATTGCCGTAACCTGCACGGCCGCACGGCTAACATCCTGTAAACCCATGCTGATCCTTTTCTTGGCTCGGTTGGCGCGCTCGCCCAGAGTTGGCTCCTCGCGCTCTTCATCGGCGTTATCGTCGTCGTCGTCAAAACCAGCAGCACCATGAGGTATTAGGTTTTTTGCGCGCATGAGATTGGCAACGGCAGGCAAAGATGGGCGGCTTTGATTCCCGAAGGATAGGGATCGACGGCGTGTTGCCGCCACCGGCTCCACCGACCGCCCTTGCTCGAACGGCACATCCGGCGCGGGTGTCGCAGAGCGTGAGAAGGACCAGTCAACAGGAGCATCCAGTACCGTAACAAGCACATCAATACGATTGTCAACTTGAGCCTGTGCTTTTAGGGACGTGAAGTCATCATCTAGTAGAAGGTGAGAGCGCCCTCTTTTGAGTATTCATATGATACGAGAGCGTACCATCTTCGAGATCCACTTCAGTGTCATCGCGAAGCTGAGACAGTCCCAGCTGTGCATCAGGTAACCCCAGTTTCTTGAGAATAACAGCGCGCATATCATCAAGGCTGTCCTCTATGATGGGCGGCACATGGACATTAGCGCCGTCTATATCCCTGTACAATGTGCTCACCATTGAAGACGCGATCGAACACTCGTTCGTCGACATGGTACGTGATCCTACACACCCGATTTGTGCTCATCTCTAACTCTGGATCTACCACTTCAGAGCGTCTCCGTTTCTTGGTGCTCATTGTGATCAAAGAGGATGAAGGAAGAGATGTAAAAGACGGCGCTCATCAAAACGCGTGCACGGGACCAAAAAAGGTAAATCACCTGCGGGTGGAGACGGACATATCGGGAATGCGATGACTCGCATCGGGCCTCATTCATTTGTTTTTCATAGTTAAACATGCTGAAAACGCTATTCTTCAACTACTCAGACGAAGTGCGGGTCCTCATTACGCTACTGATCGGAGCACGTCTACCAGGTCTGCAAAACCCAGATCCTGCTCCACAACCCCAGTACACCAAAAGCTCTTCAACATCATCCGGACCGAATCCACGTTCTGTTCGAGTTCTCCCGCCTCCTTGAGCCTATGAATGATCATGGAAAGGAGGGGTCTATCATCCGAGGTGAAATGCTTGAATGTCGCCAGCCTCCAAAGGCGAAGCAGCGTTGGCACCAGAGGCATGAACGTGTTGGCAGGCAAGCGTGCGTACTTTCGCGCAGCAAAGATGTCCTTCTCGTGCAACTTATGGTCTCCATTGCCTGAGAGAGTAGGTTCGCCCTCAGGCCAGAGCAGCCGGGCGACATGGGTATCATCGTGAGTGATATCGACCGTTGCATTGTCCCATCGCATGATTTCCTCGGGGATGGCGGCGTGCTCGATCGGTACAGGTACAAGCTTCTCTACAGGAACGGCCTCGACTGATCTTTGTCCATCATGAATGGTGACCTTCGGAGGATTGGGATCGACCAGCATCATCCCGGGCGGTACAGGTGAACGACCTGGCCACATCGGTTGTTTAAACCACGCTTCGGTCCTCTCCCGGAGGAAATTGTCCTCATACATCCGAAAGAGGCGGACAAGCAACACAGCGGCTGTCGCGAAGGGCTCAAACGATTTCACATATGACACTAGAATCGCAAGATCGCCTTCGGTGCTGGAAGGGGTATAAGCAACCATCTTGTCGGCAATGTCGAAGAAATAGCTCGAAAGAGCGCAATAGGTTCGTTCGGTAGCTTTAGGCGAGTAGTTACGCTGTTTTCGTCGGCTACTGAAGTTCCACGCCTTGGAATAAACTTGTATATACTCCGCGTATGAGATGTTGGTAAATCTCGGTTCATGACCTGTAGTACCTGTCAGGGAAAACTCATCAGGATACAAATGGCATACCTTGGAGAAGCTGCTCCCGGAGAGTCTTATCCAAAACATCCTTGATCACTCGCCAGTCGTCCTCGAACTGCCGAGTTTCCGTAGAGATGGTATTCGATCGGTTTGAATACATGATAGGCATTGCCGATAAGGGTTTAGACTGCGCAGTGTGGGCCAGAAGACGGGCATTTAAACCATTGGTCCAAACAAATGAGCGCCAAACTGAGAGAGCCGACTACTACCGGGCGATGCCGAGCACAGCCGCTCCAGTTCGGGGCATGTGACAATCACATGAGTGTCACAACAAACTTCACTCATTGACGTGCTATGTTGAGTGGTTTCCATTTTACATGAGGTTTCGCAAGCATGAGTTCCAGTCAGAAACGGTGGGATAGCAGTTGAGCCTTATATACACTACCGTATATGGCGAGTAGGAGAGGAAGACATGAGGAGAATAATCCAGTGATTGCAGATGATACAAGATGCGATTCCTCCGTCAATCCATAACCTCTCTTCCGCCCCCCCCCCCCAATTGCTTGCCTTTGGCCTCTGATGAGGAACGACTTGGAGGAAACAAAGATAGATGGAGGAATTAGAAAAAATAATAGTCTAGAGATGGGAGGAATCATAAGAGATAAATTAGATGGAGATAGTCGTGCAGTCGGAAACGATCGTTTTGCCCTCAAAGGTGGCGCCTGGGCAGCACACAAGGTTTGCGCCAGACGCGAGAGAGAGGAGAGACTCAGGGAACTCCAGGGCTGTACAATTAACGCCAACGGTCACATCGGCGGGAAGAGGGACGAACATTCCGAGGAGGTCGAGCACGTCAGCGACCACCCGGGTGTCTTGGAGCCCGACAGAAGCGCAGCAGTAGAGGTCTTCGAGAGCGCAGCTCAGACCGGCATCGACGCCGGCAACAGAGGCAACGGCAGGAACTGTCTCGCGGGCTGCGAGCGCGCCAACGGAGGCGGTAGCGGCGATCTCAGCTTCAACGGGGCCGACGATTGAATTTGCGAGAGCGGCGATATCGAGGCCGGCGGTCTGGCCCAATACGAGGTCGAGGACATCTGGGGCGCTCAGGCCAAGAGCGAGGGCACCGTTCACGTCCGCAGAGATCTCTGACACAATGCTGGGGATGGCGACGTCGGCACCGAGGATGGCAGTGGGGTTGGCAAGAAGTTCCAGAGCGGCGGTTACATCGGCCACCTCAGCAACGAGGGATGCAATCCCAGGGACTGAGAGGCCAGCGGTAGGCACGGGGAGGGCGGGGAAACCAGTGGCGTTAAGGAGGATCGAAACGACAGCTTCGGCGTCTGCGCCGAGGCTGAGCAGGAGGGTCTTGAGCGCGTTGATATCGACCGTGCCGTTCGGGCCGGCGAGGGAGCTGAGGTCAAGGCCGGGGAAGTGGCTGCTCAAGGAAGTGACGGTGCTGAGGTCGAGGGGGCCGTTACCCAACAGGCTGGCGAGGAGCCCATCGACAGAAGAGAGGGAGACGCCGATCGTGGGAGTGGCACTGAGTCCGACGTCGAGGAGGCCATTGAGGAGGTGCAGCCCAACAGTTGGGGTGGGGCTGAGGTTGAGGTCAAGGGATGCCACGCCCGAAACGTCGGCACCGACGTCAAGGCCGAGGGTAGGGTTGGGGCCCAGGAGACCAAGGTCAACTGAGGCAGTCGCATCGACCGGAATACCGGCGACGTTCAGTGATGCGGCGGCATCAACACCGAGGCTGATGGCGGAGGAGATATCCAGCCCGACGGAGGCGGAAGCATCGACCACAACGGGGATGCCAGTGGGAAGGACACCGTTCAGGAGCTCAGCAGAGGCCGTGACTCCCGCATCGACACCGACTGAGACGCCGTTCGTGACTTCAGCACCGATGGACGCAGTTGCGACGGCGTTAACTGAGGCGATGCCAGAGACGTCGACCGAGGCGGTAAGGGCTGTTGCGATATCGACCTGGCGGGGAAGAACAAGGGCATTGATAGATGCCGGGATGGCGAGGAGCGAGAGGAGAGAATACATTATTGGTAACTTGTAAGATAGTTGGGGTTCAACGAGTGTGGGTGCTGGAGTGCGAGAGGGAGGAATTAGGCGGGTCGAGACCTAGAGTAGATGAGAACCGTGAGAGCGGATGAGCCTCCTTGGGATTGTCTATCCAGGTTCTTATAGGCTGGGCATTGGCAGAGGGGGAGGGTGATAAGCGCCATCTGACGGCATAGAGAGGGATAAACAACGGCGATGGAGCGGGAGACAGGGCAACAGATGCCTCGACCGTGGGTTGGAAGGAAGTTGCCAGGTTATTGCTCGTTTGCTGTTGTGAGAGGGTACCAGACCCACGCCGACAAGTATTTTCGACCATCGTATGCTCTTCCTCCCTCTTTCACGGATGACAAAGAGCTCGCTCCAAGTTGTTCCCAGACCAATCCGATTTTGCTGAGACCCAGCCCTTCCCGAGCATATCGAGTCTACCGAGACCCATCCATCAGCCAGAACTCCTCTGCAGCGTTCAAATATTCTCGAGCATCGAAAACAGTAATTATGACACTCGGAGCGAGAGCCTGCTCCAGGAGATAACGCGTCGGTCAATGGATGGTCGTTAATGGCAGAGGGGATGAAATGTGACAGGGTCCATTGACCTGTCAAAACGCGTGTTTGGGCACGGGACTGGCACGTGATGTAATCGATCCAGCGCTTTGGAAATGTGGAAATTTTGAAAGCTTGTGCCTTTGTGCCTGTACTGTAATAGCAACAAACACCGGAATAGCAACAAATACTGAGTTGTTCATTTTCTGCTCAGGTGAGATCAGATGCCATCGGCTTGAATGAAACGGACATGAATTTTTGGAGGCAAAGAGTACGTAACCACCTTGCAATGGGCAGGCAGCTCATCTATCACGCACAGCATAACATTATTCGATATGGACGCATTCTGATGGTAACTCCTGCTCATGTTTCCTCTTGCAAAACAAACACCCGAAATAGCTTGTGAATGTTCGATCATTCATTCATTCAAGTTTGTGCTAGCTCGTGACGAAAACACTGGTATTCCCCAGGCAACATCGAAACCAAAACATGCTTCCTCATCATGCTTCACCGCATCCTTCTACCTTTCTTCCCACCTACATTCATAAAATTCCTCTACGCGTTTCCTTTTTCCGGGCGTATCCTTCCCCGCAAATGATTCAAGGCTCTGCTCCTGCTTCTAGCTCGCGGGCGGCGCACGCCCTTTGCACCCTGGTGCGCAGCCTTCCGCACCATGACCAACGTGAACCTCTACCCCCCCCCCCCTATCTCCCTCTCCGCACCATGTTCTTGTCATCCACCTATGCCATGCCGGCACCTCCTCATGCCAATGCCGGAGCTCCGGAGGACCCTCATTCCCTAACGGAATTGAAATTCTTTCAGCTGACGACTAGGCTTCCGTGTCGTTTAGTTTCGTCAGGCTTGCTCTTATACACTCCACAAATCGTGCGTGCTGGTTGCGGTGCATGACCTGGACGGTGTATAATTATGACTGACCTGGGGGGGCGTTCTCCAGTCGTGGTCAAGATGGTTCCAGCCAAAGCGTATCTCATGCTCACCTTGGTCGTACTGGTATACGGCACTATCCTGTATCATCATACCCGCTGGACTTTCTGGAACTATCGCGCTGGCCGTGTGCGCCTGCGTACGCCTTTCTCTCCCTCGCCTGATCTAGCTGACATCTTTTAGTGCTCACGATACACTCCCTTTCGGGGCTTTCCGAAGTGGGACTCTTCCACCTCCGCCCATTCCTCACCATCCCCAGCCCGGCACTACATACATCCCTCGCACTCCTGCAAGCCCTCACTCTCCTTTCCCTCGTCCGCACGCTTAGGCGCGGCTTACCCCTCCTCACCCGTCCATCCTACCAAGCCGGCGGAATCCTGCGTCTCGTCCTCCTTTTCCTTCCGCAGCCCTATCCCAGCGCCGGCCTCCAGCTGGTGCACGGGTTCGCTTTCACCCGGCTCTTCATCTGGATGTTCCAGACCACCGGGGTTGTAAGAGGTGGGAGGGAGGTGTACGCGTTTGCGGTGTTTGGCGCTGGGTTGCTGGTGTGTGCTGGAGGAGGCCGGGAACTGGGACTGGCTTATGCTGCTTTGGTTGGCTTAATCGCGGCGTTGAATAGGTGGACGACGGCACAGCTGGCGCATGATCGGATGTAAGTCGGTGGTCCGAGACGAGTTATTGGGGATTAACATTTGCAGCAGGCATTCGGACTTTGTGCGCGCGCTCCTGCAGGTACTTGTCTTCCTGGGGTTTGCGGAATTGGAGACAGTGCGGTTGTATGACTCTGGCTTGCTATTAGGCCAGACATCCAGCGACAACCAGGGTCGGTCAAAAGTGTCGGACGAGATGGAGGAGGACGATTTCTGCCTGCCTGAGCAGCCTCAGACAGACGACGCGCCTGAACCGACAGAGGCCGAGGGAGCCAGTGGGCTGAAGCGGATGAGTGTGCTTACCCCGCCCGGGTCACCCGGCGGAGTATCTAGAAAAAAACCAGCTTTGAAGAGTTAATTCACCAACGCGGAGGTCTCGCTGCGGTGAAAGAGGTGCAATGGATGGACGATTTCAACGGACTTCACGGAGGATTCAATATTAGATTGGAATTAGAAACATAATATTCCTACCAGCGATACCTAAAATACCACTACCTAGAAATGACACCAATTGAGAATGCGAGCCAGCCATCTTGTGCCAAACATACGCTCGTGATCTATTTCCTGTGCCACAACGAGCGCCTACCGTCTCTAAAGAAGCGCCCGCCCCTTCCATTCGACCGCCCTGAGTTTCTGATGCTGTCTTATCATCTCACTCTCATCACGCGCTCATATTACCCACTTGTACAAAGGTCTGATAATGGAACTGCTTCACTGTTAAAAATGCTGGTTCATTGCTCCGTTCCTCACGGGCCAACTGTTATACTCCTCCCGGATCTCCAGTGCTCACCCACCACTACTCTTCCTCTGCACGACCATGCCCAGTCTGCGGCAACGTCTGGCCCCCATATTCACCTTTGAATACTGGGAACTCTCACCCGAGCCATGTACTTTCGCCCCGAGCAGTAAATGGAGTAATGCGGATATGGACCCCACCCCCCTAGAAAAGCGGACCTGGACGACGTTCAACTACATCGTGCGTCCCTCCCATCCCCCTCACGCACAGCTAACTTCATGCATCACAATCTGTAGACATACTGGATCTCCGATGCATTCAATGTCGCAACATGGGATATGGCCTCCGCCCTCCTAGCCTCCGGGCTCTCATGGCATCAAGCCCTCCCCTGTATCGTCCTCGGTCACGCCCTGATCGCATGCGCCATAACCGCGAACGGCACCATCGGTGCCCGATTGCATATACCCTTCCCGGTTCTGAATAGGAGCAGCTTTGGATTCTGGTTCAGTTACTTTTCGGTCGTGAGCCGGTGAGCACATGCGATCAAGTTCTGCGCCGAAGACTGGGACTGACAAGCGTGCAGAGTCGTACTAGCCATGTTCTGGTTCGCGATCCAGACGTACACAGGCTCGGAATGCGTCTACCAAATGCTTCGTTCCCTCTTCCCCTCTTTCCTGCACATGCCGAACCACCTCCCGCCCTCAGCGAACATCACCTCTGCGGAGCTCCTCTGCTACTTCCTCTACTGGCTCATCCAGTTCCCCTTCCTTCTCATCCCCTCCCACAAGATTCGCTGGCTCTTTGCTGTCAAGAGCGTTGCCGTCACTGCAGCGGGTGTGAGTATGATGGTATGGGCGTTTGTGGAGACGGGAGGGGCGGGGGCGATTATTGCCCAGCCGGCGAGAGTGAGCGGGAGCGCTCTGGCCTGGACATGGCTAGGCGGGTTGAACAGCGTAATAGGGAACTACGCTACGCTGTGTACGCTCCTCTTCTGTATTTCTCTACGCCTACTTACACGGCATCATAATCTGTGGTTCAACGTGAAGCGGTAAACATACCCGACTTTACGCGCCTCGCCAAGCACCCGAGACATCAATACGTCCAGCTGCTTATCATCCCCCTCGCCTTCACCTTTATCGCCTTCCAAGGGCTGGTCGTCACCTCCGCCGGGTACATACTGTACGGAGACTACTACTGGGACCCGCTTCGGCTCATCAACAACTGGGATAACCGGCCCGCGGCGTTTTTCGCCAGTTTTGCATTCTGCCTCGCCACGCTGGGCACGAATATTGGTGCGAACAGTATCAGTGCCGCCAATGATTTCATGGCGCTGCTGCCCAGGGTACGCACTTTCTTCCCCTGTGCTGAGCTTGATTCGCTGAGTGAGATGCGTAGTGGCTGAATATCCGCCGTGGACAGATCCTCTGCGCACTCATAGGCGGGTGGGTAATAATTCCCTGGGAGATCCTAGCCACGTACGCCCACCTCCACCCCTGCTGCACAGTCGTTTGACTAACAGAGCCAGCGCTACGGGATTCCTGAACTTCATGGGAGGGTACACCGTCTTCCTCGGCCCAATATGCGCGATCATGATCGTTGATGTACGTCCTTCCCCGTCCCCACTCGGCTGGGCGCTGGCAGGCAGAGAGCACTGACACGTCAGGTGTGCAGTACTGGTTTGTCAAACACCAGAAGATCGACGTCCCTGCGTTGTATGACCCTCATGGGCGATATCGCTACACGGCCGGAATCGTGCGTTCCCCATCTCCCCATCTCCCATACTCGGCACTCTTCCTGCTATTCTTGTCTCCCAACTACCTGAGCTAACAGGCTTCTGACAGAACTGGCGCGCTGGAGCGGCACTGCTCGTCTCCGTACCCCCCAACCTGCCGGGGTTGATAAACGCCATCAACCCATCAATCGAAGTCGGCGGCGGCATCTACCCGTACGATATCGCTTGGATGCTCGGGGTGGGTGTCCACCTCTCATGGTGCCAGTCCGACTGATTGGAGTATAGTTCACTCTGGCGGGAGTGACGTACTATGTCACTTCTTGGCTCTGGCCTGCGAAGGGGACGTTGCTTGAGCATGCGATCGACGTGGACGAAGCTGCTGCTCTTGCTAGGGAGAAGCACGAGCGAGAGAAGGACAGGGGCGCTTATCCTGAGGAAACGAAGGAGGAAGAACTCAATGTTGGTGTGCGAGAGGTCTGACGGGGTTACGGGGAGGCGAGCATCAAGTCTAGGATTAATGTACAGAGGGTATGGATGTAGAACAGCTTTTGGATACAACGCACGTAGGAAAAAATCGATACACTTCTCTTGATATTTTAGAGTATTATTTCGCAGCCACTGGCTCGAGAGGGACCCAAGTCCACTCCCCTTCGGCGTCCTCGACCCACTCGCCCACGGGTTCCGGTTCCTCTGCTGGGAATTCATCGAGAGGTTCTTCGGCCGGTATTGGGATATCCGTAGGTTGGTCAGCTACATCCTCCAACATGGGCTGGAACTCTTCAGAGACGGGGGAAAGGGAGAAATCAGCTTCTTTCAGAGATGGAGGAGCACCGTAAGCAGGTGGATAAGGAGCTTCAGGCCGTGGTGCTGGTACAGGGAGGGTTACAGGGGCAAGAGAAGCACCCGCGGCATGTTTAGCATACGCCGCTAAAGCATCAGCGATGGCCTGCTTCAGTCTCTCGCCTTCGTCGTCTTCTAATGCCGCCTCCTCTTCCAGTGGTCGAGGAAGAACAGGCACAAACGGAGCATGCTCTTCCTCGACAGGCGGCACGGCTGCAGGTGCGAACCCAATCCCGTGCTCTGACGGCAGCTCGGGTTCTTCCAGCTCTTCTTCAGTAGGCAGGGGACCACGAGACGGCTCCTCAACCCATATCCACTCATGATAGGGCCCTAGCACCCAGGAACCGCGTTGCAGCTCAGGAGGTACCTCCTGGACCGGTTGTTCCTCAGGTTTGGAGATTATAGGGTCGAGGTGGGGGTATGCTACGAGAGGTGCGGAATCGGCCTGCTCGAGGTTTGTGGGTGGGTCGTACTCCGACACCGGGGCAATATCGTCAGGTTGATCGATGGATTCTTCCCCGGGTACGAAGGTCTCGTGTTCGACAGAGTCGTCATACCCCGGGAGATCCCCAATTGTCGGACTGGCTTCATATTCCGGCTGCAGGTCGTATTCTGGGGAGTCATCGTACACAGGTAGCTTGTCGTACGTCGGAGTCGCCTCTTCCGACTGCAGATCGTATGCCAGTGGTGGGGTTGCCCATTCGGCCGGAACAGGAGGAACTGCTTCACCGTCCCAATCAGGAAGTGTAATGCCACCGGAGAGCGTCCCCGTCTTCTCATAACCGATCTCTTGTCCAGGATCAGGGAAAGCCAGTCCCTCCTCCAGGCGCAAATCCACTGGCTCAGGCTGGGTCCAACCGCCCTCTCTCTCCCCCTCGGGCCATCTCTCGTCCGCAAACCTCACGTCTTCGTACATGACCCGATCGACCTTTGCGCTGCCGTCGCCGCGGTTGAGCCATGTCCATTTGTATTGTGTTGCTACTTGGACTACTGGGCCCCAGGTGGGGAAGTCGACGATGTCGGAGTAAGTGAACGAGTTGGCCGCGTTGTCGATGCAGTTACTGCGCACGGGTCAATACCTTGTTTCTGAGGAACAGTATGGAAAAAGACTCACAAATGCAGGATACCGGGGAAGATCGGCCATCTCTCAGGCGCGTCCGCCATCCTCCTCTCAACATCCCACATCCTCTCCCCCCTCCTACGTACCTGCTCCTCCTCAGTCATCTCATCATCCCCATCGTCCAGTGCAAAACCCCAATGGTTCCTACAATGGCTGACGTCCCAGCTCAAGCCGAGGTGGCCCGCTAGCTCGGGGCGCGCACGCCAAATGGCGTAGTACACGCCTTGGTCACCGAAGGGTGGGTTGTGTGGATCGAGCCCGGCGGACATGAGCGAGGAGTAGGCGACGTCTGTCCTGCTCGCCTGAGGACGCAGGTCAGATGCCACCCACTGGAATCGATCGCGCATCGCTTCCAGATCCAGCAGGAGTGAGCAAGAGCATACGGTGAGCTCGTCACTCCCTGGTCCAAGGGTAGGAAGGGCAAACACCTGCCCAGGCTTGAACTTGTCGAATTCCTTCCAAAGGAGAAGCGGGTCGACCGTAAAGAGCGTATCGATATCGATAAAGATCGCGCGTTTCGTCTCGGTCAGGATCTCGTGGAGAAACACCTTAGCCAGACCACCTGCACCGGCATGGTAGGTACTCCCGATCCCGGCACGGGCACCGCGAGCCCAGATCTGGGACGAGGAGAGAAGGTTGTAGGATACGTGGATATCGTATGCTGGGCGATGGACGAGTGTGAGGCGGTCATCTATGTAGTACATTGCAGCTTCGTCGCAGACGATGTGCAAGTGAACAGGGGTAGATATATGCATAAGCTGCAGGCACTGTTATTGGGTGTTCTCTTTTCCTTAGATAGCGGAGACTCACGATCCCCTTAATCATCGTCACGGCTTCAACCGCTGCACTCTCTCCCATTATTACAAGCGCAAACTCGATGGTCGGAGGTTCCCATTTCGTCTTATCCAGGTCGAAGACATCCACCTGAGGAGCGGGAAATTCCCAGCCCCATTCCTGGCTATCCGCTGCCTGGTGTTCCGCATTAGCATGTGTAAGTCGCTCCTTCTCCTCACGCGAGAGAGTCCACTCTTCTGGTGTGCCTCCCTCGACCGCGTTCGGGATCCAGGGCCGCGCTCCGACGGGATAGGAAGCAAGCTCGGCATATTCCTCCAGTGGCTCCAGGGCGTAGGCTTTGTTCCCCCCTCCCCAGGTGAAGAGCGTTACGCGGCTCGGATCGTCCGATGAGGAGCCGTGGAAGAATCTCGAGGCTGCGGAAAGCGCCGGGCCGTAGTACCCGTAGTAGGAGTCGGATTCTGAGTCGAGGGAGTCAGTGGAAGGGGATATGAAGGAGCCGTAGAGGATGGAGAGGGTTAGCAAGAGGATGCCTGCTCCGAAGAGGGTTGCGAGCCTCGTCGCCTGTAGACGGAGAGGGGAGAACATGGTGTGCCAGAGAGAGGAGGCGACTCGTGCGTGCTATATGTTTGATCGCGTCGACAGTGTTGGACGTAATATAAGACTCAGTCGAGCTTGTTGAATGTCAAGAGAGACGAATAAACACGTCAATCGTACTCATTCCGACGACTATTATCCTTTATCCTTCGCCCAACTCGCCGCTTGCGCCTCGCTTCCCTTTCGGGTCCATTCTTCACGTCTGGGGTAGCCCATCAGGCAGCCCCTGCCCAATTCTCGACTTCATTCCGCTGGTTAATCAGTATGATTAGAAGACGTTGATCAGTTCGTGGGGTGGGGTGTGGCCACCAGAGAATGAACCTCGAATGAGATACGTCGCTTTGTGGACCCTGAACCTTGTTGGAACTTCTATTTGAGGGCGTACCTTCTGTTATTCCGTTCACTCGGCTCCGATTCCTCCGAGAACATCAACCCCCCGCAGCAGTTGTGGCCTGAAAGGTCGTCTTCATTGTAAAACTTGGTGCTATGACAATGCATGTAGTATTTACAATGTAGTGCACTGTTTCGCCAAAGGGCAAAGTACTAACGCCTGATGCTCCCCTTCGGCTCCCCCGGCGCTCAAGTCATCCTACTCTATTGCAACATAACACACCTCCATTCCAAGAACATAAGACAGCATATCTAGCTCAAAGAATCTTGGGCTTCCTAAGGAGAAGACGACAGTCAGGGAAACATACATCTGTCCGACTCGGCCTCGGCCTCGGAGTCCCATGATTTCGAGGAAGGGGCAAGCGGACAGATGCAAGTTTCTCCGAGTTCCAGAGCTCTAAGAGACGAGGACAGACCTCGGGAAGGTGCACGCCCCACTAAAGATGGGCAAGCGTAGCCTCTGGATAGAAGGCACCAGACCATCCTGTCGGGCGAGGACTCTCCCTGGGAGTGTCAACAATCAAAATCAGCAGTCAGGATGCCGCCTCGAGCGCAGCCGGAAGGTGCGAGATGGACCAAGGAAGCCAGGCCCAGGAGAGCGCCAGAGGCATGGTTCTTCGAGACCCCCATTCTGTGAAGATAAAGGATACAGCTCAGAAGGTACACACCCGAGACCATGCCAACACGCCAGCCTTGGGGAAAAGGCACGGAGTGGTAGACCGAAGGGTGTGAGGAATCCAGGTTCGGAAATATCCAATTGTTCATACGGAGTCGAAGGCACATTCGGGGAATGAGAGGACAAGACAGGTAAGGTAACGTGATCATGAATCGCCTTTAGAAAACCGTACAAGGTTGGTCAGCACACGTGATCTACCCCTTCCTGCAAGGAATTTGAGAGCCATCAGCGCCGAAGGGGAGAAGGGAGGAAAGGTCCATCTACAAGAGTGTAGATGCGAACCAGGAGATCGACAGCGGCGAAAGAGGTCCAGGAGAGGCCAGGGGTGCGAGGCAGCTGGGATGACGTGTCCCACCCGATGACTGCACCAGGACTGAGCAGTGCTAGAGGCCAGATCGTGACAGGCCTGGACACGTCATCCGTCTCTGTCTGCAAGCGTGACGTTGACCGGAATGATCAGACAATTGTTGGCAGAGGATCGCCGAACAGCTGAGCAGCACCGTACCGGACCCTCGGGAGAACCACAAAATAGTGTTCAGTGGAGGAGAACGATGCTGCTGAGCACGAACGGTGTCCGAATGCACGGGCAGGGGGGCGGAAGTTGGAAGTGCAAGGCAGGGGAGGAGGATACGAGGTTCTTCTACCCAGAGGGGAGCGGTCGTCCGTCTCTGTCTGCTAGAAGTCATCGACCGGAGTGATCAGACAATTGTTGGCAGAGGAGGGCCGAACGGCTGAGCAGCAAGGGGCAGGACCATCCGTAGAACCACAGAATAGTGTTCAGTGGAGGAGAGCGATGCTGCTGAGCACGACCGGTGTCCGAGTGCACGAGGGGGGAGGAGGTTGGAAGTGCAAGGCAGGGGAGGGGGATGACGCTTCCTCCCCGCCCCAGAGGATGGGGAGCTGTTGTTCGGCAGAGCGTTGCGAGACAGAGTGGGTAGGGGAAAGGGGAAAGGGGAAAGGGGAAAGGAAGGAGGGACAGAGGGAGACGGACTTGCGCAACACCCGGAATCAGGACACTCGGCCCAAGCTACCCAGGCGAGCTCTGCTGCACGTAGTTAGTGCCTGGCCGAGCACACTTGGCGGGATAGGGCGCAAGACGAGTACTGGTGTCAAGGCTGAGCGAGGCTGAGAATTAAATGCGAGGAATAAGCCGGGTGAAGCTGAGGTCCAAGCACTGACCGAGCAAGGTACAAGTCTCTGGCTTGGAATGCAGGAATGCAGTGCGGTGAGGCATGTGGCTGGACGTGCCTGTCGGTTGGGATACCTCCTACACCCGGGCCTCCTTGACGACGTACATTCCTCCGGTGCGAGTACTGTATATGAGCCACAAGCTTTCCTCCGCCGGCCCAAGGAGGCTTGACGCGTCCCAAAGAACTGCGGTGCTCAGATGCAACTATATGCGCATACCTATCAGATGAAGAAGCACTAGTGGCCCGTGCACTCTTCGGTCCTAGTTCGCGAGACAAGGTTTGATGAAGTGCTTGTTGCCGAATTCGGCGTGTGGAATGAGCACTGCCACCCCCATTGTTTTGTTCCTCAGAGAACATCGTTGGCGTTAATGGAATGAGTCGAGAGTGGGGAATGTACAAGTGAGAAGGAGGTAATGAAAGTTCAAGAGAGTGAAAGAGTGTTGTACCTGTCAAGAGCTTGCTTGGCAGTGTGTGGTTGTATGTGATGAGTGCACCCTCGATTTGTTCACCCTCTCTCTCTCTCCTCTTCTCCCCCTTCTTTCCCCACTCGCCTCTGTTGGTGTTCATCGCCGTTCACCCTGTCTCTCATTTCATTCATCCGTTCTCTACCAAACACTCGTTAACTTCACTTCCCTCTCCCCTCCCCTCCTTCCCCCCACCCCACTCCCACCATGCTCGCCCTCCTCCTCATCATCCCCCTCGCTCTCGCCCTTCCAAAATCACACGAATCCCGCCATTCCCATCCCAAAGGCTGGCGTCCCCACACCGCCCCCTCCCCATCCCACCCCCTCCCTCTGCGCATCGCCCTCACCCAGTCTAACCTCCAGCTCGGTGCCTCCCACTTGGAAGTCATCTCCAACCCCGATTCCCCAGAGTACGGACACCACTGGACACCTGAGAAGGTAGCAGAGTTCTTCGCTCCTTCTACAGAGAGCGTCAGCGCCGTCATCGCCTGGCTCATCGAGGGAGGAGTCGAAGAGTCCCGTCTAGAACTAAGCAAGAGCAAAGGCTGGCTATCGGTACACAACGCCACTGTGCAAGAAGCAGAGCGACTGCTCAGCACGACCTACTCCTTCTACACCCATGTCTCCGGTGCATCCCACCTCGCCTGCTCAGACTACTCCCTCCCTCCCTCCGTCTCCCCCCATGTCGACTTCATAACCCCAACGATACACTACGACTTCCAGCTCCCTCCTCCTTCCAAGCGGGGGCTCAAACGCGAGAAGAGGGCGAAAGGCATGCCCCCCGCTGCCCAGCTCGGGCTACCCGACTCTGCTTCACTGCCAAAGATGGACCTCGGGGGCCTGTTCACGATCTTCGACCAGCTGACACATTGTGCAGACCAGATAACCCCCGACTGCCTGCGGGCGATGTACGGGATCCCCCCTGCCGGGATCCGACTCTCCACGTCAAAGAACTCACTCGGAGTGCTCGAGTTCGCTCCCCAAGCTTACCTACCCGCCGATCTAGACATCTGGTTCCGCAAGTTCCTCCCTTGGGCCGTGGGCTCCCGTCCTCAGTTCGCGGGTATCGATGGGGGAAACCTTGACCCCAGGAGCGTGGGGTTGCAGTATAATGGAGAGAGCGATCTGGATTTGGAGTATACGATGGGGTTTGTATGGCCTTTGAAGCCTGTGTTGTACCAGATTGGGGACAGCTATCTCTCTGGGTCGTTTAACAACTTGTGCGTCCTTCCCCCCTTCCCTCCCCCATTCCCTCCTTTCCTTTCCTGTTCGCTCGCAGCTCACCCCCACCCAGCCTGGACGCGATCGACGCCTCCTACTGCACCTACCTCGGCGGGGACGACCCCACACAGGATAGTATCTACCCAGATACGGACAACCCCGACGGGTACCAGGGGACAAACCAGTGTGGCGCGTTCCAGGCTACGAAAGTTATGAGCGTGTCGTATTATACATGCGTGGCAAAACGACAATGCCACGCCTCGCTGCAGTCCGATACCACCCCCCAAACCCCCCAACCCCCCAACCCCCCCCAAAAAAAAAAACCCAACAAAACCCAACTCACCTCATCACACTGCCTCCGTTCATAAAACTCGCTCAACTGTATCTCATCATACGGCGCATTGCGCTTTTTGTTTGGGGGCGCTGAGCTCATTGACGCGTATTGCGGACGCGTGCTAGATGATACGACGCGTCATGACGCGTTTTCTTGATGTACTGGAATGTTGGGTGAGCTGGCGCGTGTTGGGGACGCGTTTTGCGCTCTAGGCGCGTATTGCAGAGCTCAGCTGGCAGTTGCGGCACCGACTTAATCGCGTTCTGTCTTTTTCCTGCCCGGTGTGCTCCCTGTCACTCCCATGCTAACCCCTTCCCAGTACATGAAACTCGGCCTGCAAGGCGTCACTCTCCTCTTCTCCACCGGTGACTCGGGCGTCGCCTCCGGGTACGGCGTCTGCAGCGAAGACGGACAATACAGTTCCACCGGCACGCGGTTTGTCCCCTCCTTCCCCGCCACCTGCCCCTACGTAACCGGGGTCGGCGCCACCCAGCTCCCCGAGGGCGGGAGCGTCTTTTCCAAGGAAGTAGCCGTGGAGAGCAAGGTCTACTCTTCAGGCGGGTTCTCGGACATCTTCGCCCTCCCATCCTATCAGAGCAAAGCTGTCCAATCCTATTACGCGAAATACGCACCTCCCTACACTGCAGCGCAGTACAACAACTCCCAGGCTGTCCGTGGTTTTCCAGACATCTCCGCCAACGGGCTCAACTATGTCGTCGCCGCCAGCGGGAACTTCACCCTCGGCTCCGGCACCTCAGCGGCAACGCCCGTCGTCGCGAGCATCTTCACGCTCATAAACGACGAAAGGCTAGCGATCGGTAAAGGGCCAGTAGGGTTTGTAAACCCCGCTCTGTATGCGAACCCTTGGATGCTGAACGACATCATTTCGGGCAATAACCCGGGGTGTGGGACGGACGGGTTTGCGGCTGTTCCGGGGTGGGACCCGGTTACTGGGTTGGGGACGCCGAATTATCCGGCTATGTTGGCGTATTTTTTGTTGCATTAGTGGCTGTTGAGCGGGCTTGGGGGAATGGACTAAAATACCTGGGGTGTGACTCTTTTGTCTTTTGTCTCTTGGCTCTTGGCTCTTGGACTTTGCGTTTGCGTCCGCTGTCCTCAATGTTGGCTTTTGTCGTTTGATGTTGTTCATTTCGCCGATGTTGTCTCTCGCTCACTCACTCCTTCATGCTCTCACTCACTTATATCACGTTCATTCGCGACTTGTCCGTTTTGTAGTGTGTGATCTGGGTCTTGTGTACGTCAGGGAGGGAGGAGGGAGGGGGGAGGGGGGAGGGAGGGCAAGAGGGGGGAGGGAAACAAGAGGGGAGGGGGGAAGGGGTCATACCGTACACCGCTTACAGCTTACACTTACAGCTCACTAACAACCAGTATAGTATCGTTTTCGCCAGTTTTCGGAGTTGGGAGATACTCCTTTACAGTTTACCGTACAGTATTATCTCTGTCCACATTACCACATTATCACTTGAGTTTCCTCGTTGGGTGGAAATTAAGAGGGGAAGGGAACACGAGGCTGTGGCTGGCACGCTGGGTCGCTGGGGGGCTGGGAACATGCTGACTCGGAGGTTTGTGGCGAGTGGAATGCTTCCTTCCCAGCCTTGGTGGGGTATATAAAGGCCTTTGCGGCAGTTGAACGGGCAGCACTCTTCTCTTCTCTTCCTTCTGCTTTCCCCTCTTTTGTGGATTTGAGGCTTCAGTGTTTCACTGTGCTTGATGGGAGGGGTTTAGGACTGCTCACTTTCAGAGCATACCCCCCCCCTTGACCGCTCACCCAAGGCCTGAGTCGGAGCATCCACGATCCCGGGGATTCAGGGATCCCATCAACCATCCCCCTACCCTGCCTCCAATTAGCGGACAAACCTGCTCCTACTGGGTCATGTGTCCTGAGCTGGCTCAAAGCTCCTCATCACAGCTCAGTATGTGCTTCTCGTCCTGCTCCTGCTCCTGCTTCCTGCTCCTGCTCCCTGCTCCGGTTGTTGAGCGTCTGGTATACGAGCTTGCAATTGGTTGCCCGAGTGTCCTCTCTCGCTGTCCGAGTCGTCTGTCGTCTGTCTCCCCTCCCGCGTCTAGGCTCTGGATGGGAGCGCTGTGTATGCTCTTCTTCTGTAGGTTTTGTGATCGGGCTTGTCTGTGTGGAGGGTCGGGTTGGGTTGGCACACTGCATTCGCCCGTGATTGGGGTACACTGGTCCAGGTTGATATCCCAGTGCGGCCGGCGAATGAGTGTACGCTTCGGCTTTCTCCACTGAACTCGTGCTCCTGATTGGACCGAACTGGTCGTGTGTGCTCGCACTCGGTGCAACGTCCGATGTGTCCGAGTCATAAGTGTCCAAACTACAGCACTGGCAGTCCGAGTGCGTGCCAAGATCTGTCTTCAAGTTTCCTTTGTCTTCCTTCCCTGATCGGATCAAATCGCAGCGCAGGAGGGCTGTCCGCACTACTCTGACGGACTCTTTCACGAGAAAAGTGATTCCGGAGCCTCGTCTTTTGTAGTGCGTGCGGCCTCCTGCACAGTCAGTCCGAGTGCATCCACCCAAGACCTGTCTTCTCTTTGTCTTTGTCTTTCTTCCCTTGGTTGGATCAAATCGCAGCGCAGGAGGGCTGTCCGCACTGCTCTGACAGACTCTTCCTCACGAGAAAAGTGATTCCGGAGCCTTGTCTTTAGTAGTGCGTGCGGCCTCCTGCCAGCTTCAATTTCTCCCTCCCTCTGATGCGGAGTATCGCATAGTCGTCCATACAACCCTGTAGGGGACTACTGGAGCGGAAGCATTTGCGATCCAAATGCGTGCTGTAGAACTACATCCAATCTTTATCGGTGACATCCACCCCAGCCTGTCTGCTGCTGCTCATCGTGAGCGACTCGGGGTTGGTAGACTTATACCCTGGCTCTATTATCACCTCTGGGCAGCCTCAGCATGGTGGTTACGCGTCTGGATACATATCTGCCTTAAGGAGGTTCTGTTTGGCCATGTACTGCTGACTCATCACCTCTGAGTCAGCACCTAGGACGTAGTCAGCGCCAAGTACTCGCTGACTCATCTGGGACCCTAGCTCGCCTTGGCAACTCCTCGGCAGTCCCTCGTTGTCTTCCTGCATCTACTACCGGCACTCCGCATATTGCCAAATGTGACCTAGTCGGCTACACCTTACTACACCATTTCCCTTTATCAGGTTATGAGCCCTGCCGACTATTCGACTACAATGTCTACCTCTGATTTCAAGGATCTGAAGCAATGGCAAGTACTACAAGAAACTCGAAGAAGCTGTACTAGCCACAACCACCATGACAACATCTATGCCTACACCAGTACCCACACCAACACGTCAGCATTCCTCTGATGAGACAGAGAGAACAGAACGGGGTCTGGGACCAGAGTTGACTGAGGCAGAGGCAGTAGAGTGGGATGAGGAACTGGATATCTATGATGCAAATGAAGTGACCATTTGGGAGATCGTCTACCAGACAATCAGCCCCACAATGCTCATCCAGATTCGGGATGCAGCAACAGCACACCAGCTATGGATGAAGCTATCGGCCATACATGAGAACAAGGGTTTTGATGTATGCTCAACCCTGCACTGTTGCATGATGGATCTGAGATGCAGAGAGGATCAATCCCCCCATGAGACCATTGCTGAGCTTGCAAACTACTGTGATTGACTTGCCCAAATGGGCAAAGCAATTGATGACAAGACCTTTACCAACCATATTCATATCACACACCCAACATATCAGGATTCAATACAACCACTCAAGAATGCCATATGGGCTGTTCAACTCCCCAACCCAGACACTTGCCTCACTAGTGGCATGGTGATATCCACCATTTACAATGAATATGACTGGCACTCCTCAGAGCAGGAAGTGGACAAGGTCCAGTCAAATGCTGCACTGGGAGCAGAGATGCGAGGGAGGAATAAGGGGAAGAGTGGATTCAGTGGGAGGAAGGGGAGCAAGCCCAAGCCAAAATCAGACAAGCATTGCTCCAACTGTGACAAAGAAGGGCACATCTATGAAGACTGCTGGGCCCCAGGAGGACCCAGAGAAGACAAAGCACCATACAAATGTTGCCAACAGCAGAAAGGCAAGACCATTGCCACTGCTTCCACCAAAGTCAAGTTGACATCCAAGAAGACAGCACTTGCTATCACAGCACCACTGCTCCATGAAGAGCCAGAAGCAGCTGCTGCAGCCCAGACCAGGAAACTGTACTATGGCATAATCCTTGACTCTGGAGCCAGCATCCACATGTGCCCTGACTGTGCAAAGTTCATCCTGTATGAGCCTATCTAGTCAATACCCATCAAATCAGCTGAGGGATCTTCCTTTGCAGCAATTGGCCCAGGTGATGTGGAGCTCAGCCTACCTATGGGTAATGGCAAGAGCACTGAAGTCATGCTGAAGAATGCACTGTATACACCTGGCACAGCATACAGCATGATCTCTGTCCCCATGCTTGATGCCAAAGGATTCAAGACAGTGACAGAAGATGGCCTCTGTACACTGTACATGCCCAGACCTAGATGACAGGTCATCAGCTGCATTCCCTTGAAAAACAGCCTCTATTGAGTGGCTCCTGGCTACACCATCCAGCCAACTCACAACATAGCAGCCTTGGCTCAGTGCACTCTCTCCCTCATGGAGGCGCACAAGATCCTTGGCCACATTGGCATCTCTATGATTAAAGAGATGAGCACCACTGGCGCTATGCAAGGTCTCAACATTGACCTCAACTCCCCTGTCACATCTTGTGACAACTGCATGGCAGCAAAGGCCATATGCCTACCATTTCCCAAGACCAGCAAGCACACACATGCAGCATGCTATGGTGGCAAGGTCAATGCAGATCTGTGGGGACCACACTTAGTTACCTCTCTCAGTGGAGCAAAGTACATGCAAGTACTTGTCGACTCCTACAGCCATGAAGTATGAGTCTACTTCCTTCCAAAGAAGTCGGATGCCTTCAAGTTCTACAAGAACTATGAGGCCTGGCTGGTCATGCACTGCAATGACAAAGGCATTGCCATCCTGGGCTCTGGAGAATACACCTCAAGTGCCTTTCATGAACACACAGACAGCAAAGGCACCATTTGGCACCTCACCACACATGACTCACCACAATCCAATGGAGCAGCAGAAGTCATGAACTGTATCCACATCTTGGATATGCATTGCCTGCTGCATACAGCCCACCCACCCAACTTTCTTTGGGCAGAGGCAATTTGGCATGCAGCCTACCTTCACAATCAAGTTACGACCTCCCACCTACCCTGCAGCACAACCCCTTATGAGGTGGCCACTGGCCATAAGCCCAACCTACACAACATGCTGCCTTTTGGTGCAAAGGTTTGGGTGAAAATCCTCAGTGCCCACAAGACACAACCACAAGCCTTGGAGGGTCACTTCCTTGGTGTTGACAAAGAGTCTAAGGGCTACCACATCTATTGGCCAGCAAAGCAAGATGTCTCTGTAGAAAGGGATATCTATCCCACCAAAGATGCACTGCTGGATTGTCAGGGCACCAGCTCATTGATTGGTCAAGAGACATGACTAAGCCTTTATGACATGGAAGTAGCTGGTATACCTTGGCATGTGCTGAAACCTGCTGGAAGGATTGGATGGTCAGGTGACCTGCTGTGCATGGCTGTGCATGACCTCATATGACCTCATCCTTGGTCATATGACCTGATCACCTGACTAGGCTGAGTAAGCAAGATGTTCTAGCAGGTTCCACCACAGAGGTATAAATATAAGGCCTACTCTGCCTGGGACTGTCTCTTCAGACTTGGTCTCTTAGGATCATCCACAGGTACCTATACTGTAGATAGGTCTTAGTCATCAGGTCTACTCCACTTCCTTGTTGCCTGCTTAGACTCTTGGCACTCTTAGGTGAGCAGACTTAGTCAGCCTGTGTTGCCCTAA